CTCGCCTGTGCATATCGCCTATTCTACTCTCATTGACCCACATACAAAAACTCCTCACTTGCTTTATAATTGATGATCTGCTTAACGTGGACAGATTTTGGGTGGTCAAATTTGGTCAATAGAACATTTGAAGTTACATTTTATGTGAGGCTTATTTAATCTAATAGAAGTTTCTAAATGGTTAGGTTGTTACAAATGTACTAATAAAATCGGACACGTGGCATCCCGGCAACTTTGAGAAAACCAATGTTATATCATAGTTGTGCCCGTTGTTCACATGCGAATGTTCCCGTGACATTAGTATCGTTAGAGCATTGAGTCCTGCATCTTGTCCTTATCTAGATCATCTTTGCTTTAAGTCAGACTCAGCGATATGATGTTGCCACAAGCAGCACCGCAGATGTTACAGATGAGCGCAATGCAAGATGATGCACTCAAGGATTAATCACAGAGTATCTGCGCATGTGCACGGGTTCGCTTCAATAGCTACACATGATGGCTGCGGGACCGGAAACAGCTGAGAAATTCAGTCTGGCACTTCAATGCTCTTAGTTGTTGCGGAAATAGATCCAAAATAACTGTTTACTTTGTGCATCGCTGACTAGCTTTAAAATAATTTTTTGTTATCTATGCAACAGCCCCTGGTCAACAATGTAGAAAACTTTTGATTAGTCAAAAAGTGATACACAATGCTCTTTTTTTGTCCTGTGCATCCTGAAGATCACGGATAGCCTCGGTTGCAACTGAGATTGTACTAGGTTTAGCTCTGAAACCAGACTGGTTTTGGGATAAGATACAACAAAAATATGATATAAGAGTTGATGTAGCCATTGGGTGAACATTATAGAATAATAATTTATAGGACACAGAACACTAGACTAAAAACAAATTACAACTTTATTAGAAAAATACAAAGCATCATGCTAATCTCTGCGTAAGACAACTGTGACACAAAAAATAACGGTAACACTTTACTTGACACCCAGTGTCATAACACATTATGACACCGTCATAACAGCTGACATAACTGTCATAACTGAACATAAGAAGTTCAGGATGTAAGAGAACGTAGCAGACACTCAGATGGAAGTATGATTTACATTTATTTCAGTACTGGATCACATAATAAGACGAACGTGCTTTGCCTCTTAGCATATGACTGAATTACATAGACTCTCTCTCAGCCTATATAGTGCTCTTCCAGTCTACTTTTATCCTTCCCAGGTACTAACTATTACTAGCTGCCACTCACTTCCTACATATCATTCCTCTCCTTGGTGTCATATCCTACCCTAGCCAGTCCATTCCATCACGCACCAATCCTAAGATTAGCACTAGTGGCCCCCCAATCTATCTTGGCACACTGACCTTCTAGTACTCACTCCTGATACTACGAACACATGGCTTTCCTCGCTCTCTCATACAATTTACAATCTTTATAATATTGGATCAAACACTCTTCATATCAATAACCTGTCATATGGTAATAACCTGTCATAATATGGTCATAACCTGTCATAATATGGTCATAACAAATAATTTTATGGAACCTACATGAGTGTTACCACGCTGTGTGTCAAGTAAAGCGTTCCCAAAATAACACCAGGCGTGAAATAAAGCACTTCCCCCCCCAAAAAATGTTTAATGTACATAGGCTAATGCGGAACTGAAATTGATACTAACGCCTCACGGCTATAAGTCACTACTACAAAACACATGACAACACGATCCAGTTTGTAACAACACAAGATGGACTGGAAGTCTGTCTGTGATGTTCTTAACAAGCCAAAGAACATCAACCTGTCATACATTTACATTATATTTTAGTCATTTAGCAGACACTCTTATCCAGAGCCACTTACAGTTAGTGAGTGCATACATTTTTCTTACTGAGACATGAGGGGTGGGATGTGTGTTCTGGGTGACGGGTCCACACAGTGTCAGTGCCCGTCTTGTGTTCAACCTTCCCAAGTTCTCTCACGTCACCCCCCTCCTCCGCACACTCCACTGGCTTCCAGTTGAAGCTCGCATCCGTTACAAGACCATGGTGCTTGCCTATGGAGCAGTGAGGGGAACGGCACCTCCGTACCTTCGGGCTCTGATCAGTCCCTACACCCAAACGAGGGCATTGCGTTCATCCACCTCTGGCCTGCTGGCTCCCCTTCCTCTGCGGAAGCATGGTTCCCGCTCAGCCCAGTCAAAACTGTTCGCTGTTCTGGCACCCCAATGGTGGAACAAGCTCCCTCACGACGCCAGGACAGCGGAGTCACTCACCTCCTTCCGGAGACATTTGAAACCCCACCTCTTTAAGGAATACCTGGGATAGGATAAAGTAATCCTTCTAATAAAAAATAAATAAAAAAATGTGTAAAGTGGTTATCCCACTGGCTATAGGGTGAATGCACCAATTTGTAAGTCGCTCTGGATAAGAGCGTCTGCTAAATGACGTAAATGTGCCCTTGAGCAAGGCACTTAACCCTAATTGCTCCTGTAAGTCGCTCTGGATAAGAGCGTCTGCTAAATGACTAAAATGTAAATGTAGAACAACAGCATCCCCATGCTGACTAGTGGGTTGGCTGGCTGTGGACACGCTAGTGTATGACATATATGTACATACACTAGCATCATTTGCATAGTCGCTTAGATACCAGATACAAATACAATGCAGTATTATTACCTTTGACCCTCAGAAGTCTGTTTGACATCCTATTTGACATCCTATTTGACATGTTTGATCTGCTTCACAACCTAACACACATTGCTATAGCTACAGTAAATGCCATTTAACACACGCTTTTATCCAAAGCGACTTACAGTTATGAGTGTATAGCTTGCTTCTGCAGTCCATGTAGTTATATAAACCTGAAATAGCAGCATGCTGTGGCTGAAAACCCCTGGCTGTGCTCAGTAGTTGGAAAAAATGTTTTGAAACGGTACTTCCTGAGCCCGTATCCACAAAGCATCTCAGAGTAGAACATTGGTCGCAAGTGCTGAAAATAGAGACATTTTACTGCTACTCTGATGGGTCAAAATAAAAGCTTTGCATGAAGCCTCTTTAGTCATAAGAGTTACACCTAGTTGACATATATTTAGGAGACCTCATGAGCTGTCCTAATTAGTTAAGAGTTACCAGCAGGTGTCTTGATTATAGAAAAGGGTAGTGGGTAAGTGGTTCATGCACCATAGATTGTTTTGGAGTTGAAAGAATTTGATATTTCTATACGATCAACCCTTAAATAATCTAGACATTCATGCAACAGTAGGTATCTCTTGCGCCTTTGACAATATTTTACATGAGGCCTAATTAACATGATATGCCTAAACACTTATAACCACTAGGCTAATAAATTCTTAAATTTCGACCATTTCATTAACCTACATCATGTTATATGCCGTTATCCCTTTGGAGCGCAATATCTCTAAATTGGCCTAGAAGTTGGGCAATTGACAGCATCTAGGAGCTGTGTGTTTGCTGATTAATGATAGACCTTTCAAATACATGTTTTAGGCAACATTATCGGCAAGTGACTTGATGCCTACTGTGCAAAAAGCGGTATAGAGTTGTTGAAGGGGAGAAACGAGCATGTTGATATAAGAGTAATATTATCAAAATCCAGCTTTTAACAAACAGTATGATTCAGTGCAATATGCCTACAGTGCTATGAAAAAGTATTTGCCCCCTTTCTCATTTTCTCTACTTTTGCATATTTGTGATACTGAATGTTATCAGATCTTTAACCAAAACCGAATATTAGATAAAGGGAAAATAAGTGAACAAATAACACAACAATTACATATTTATTTCATTATTCATAAACAAAGTTATGCAACACCCAATTCCCCTGTGTGAAAAAGTAATTGCCCCCTTACACTCAATAACTGGTTGTGCCACCTTTAGCTGCAATGACTCCAACCAAATGCTTCCTGTAGTTGTTGATCAGTCTCTCACGTCGCTGTGGAGGAATTTTGGCCCACTCTTCCATGCAGAACTGCTTTAACTCAGGTGACGTGTGGGTTTTCAAGCACTGCTCGTTTCAAGTCCTGCCACAACATCTCAATTGGGATTAGGTCTGGACTTTGACTAGGCCATTCCAAAACTACCAATTTGCTGCTTTTTAGTAATTTCCATGTAGACTTGATTGTGTGTTTTGGATCATTGTCAACAGTGAAGAGGCGACTCCGGGATGCTGACCTTCTAGGCAGAGTTGTAAAGAAAAAGCCATATCTCAGACTGGCCAATAAAAATAAAATATTAAGATGGGCAGTCTGAGATATGGCTTTTTCTTTACAACTCTGCCTAGAAGGTCAGCATCCCGGAGTCGCCTCTTCACTGTTGACGTTGAGACTGGTGTTTTGCGGGTACTATTTAATGAAGCTGCCAGGTGATGCATCTGTTTCTCAAACTAGACACTAATGTATTTGTCCTCTTGCTCAGTTGTGCACCGGGGCCTCCCACTCCTCTTTCTATTCTGGTTAGAGCCAGTTTGCGCTGTTCTGTGAAGGGAGTAGTACACAGCGTTGTACGAGATCTTCAGTTTCTTGGCAATTTCTCGCATGGAATAGCCTTCATTTCTCAGAACAAGAATAGACTGATGAGTTTCAGAAGAAAGTTATTTGTTTCTGGCCATTTTGAGCCTGTAATCGAACCCACAATTGCGGATGCTCCAGATACTCAACTAGTCTCAAGAAGGCCAGTTGTATTGCTTCTTTAATCAGCACAACAGTTTTCAGTTGTGCTAACATAATTGCAAAAGGGTTTTCTAATGATCAATTGGCGTTTTAAAATGATAAACTTGGATTAGCAAACACAACGTGCCATTGGAACACAGGACTGATGGTTGCTGATAATGGGCCTCTGTACGCCTATGTAGATATTCCATAAAAAAATCAGCCGTTTCCAGCTACAATAGCCATTTACAACATTAACAATGTCTACACTGTATTTCTGATCAATTTGATGTTATTTTAATGGACAAGGACATTTCTAAGTGACCCCAAACTTTTGAACGGTAGTGTATATATATATTTTTGAATGTGCCGTACTGAACTTCACCCCATCTTAAAGTCTGTGGAGTAGGTTGGAGAACAGGGTCGTATTCACAAGGCACCAAACCAAACAAAACAGACTGAAACAGAGGGATCACCTGAATGTGTAATAAGAAATACTTATTTTCGTTTTTTTGCATTGAACAACATTTTGCTACGTTTTGCCCTTACGAATATGACCCAGGTATGGGAGATTATGGCTTTCTTCCCCATCCTTGCACAACTTGCCTCTGCTCCCATTTTCATTACAGGTCTTTGGGGCAGTACTTCCTCTCGAACTGTGCCACGTCAAACTTGCGGGTGCAGCCTTTGTAGTTCATGTACCGTATCTTTCCGAAGATGGGTCTCTCGGCCCAGCCCTGGTCATGTATCCCACATATGGACCACATACAACCTACAGAGAGGTAGAGAGGGTTGGGGGGAAAACAAATTCATCAGTGTAGAATAGACATGGTAGCAGTCGTAAGAACAAAGATTCAGCACGAGGCAAGCAGGTAGAGGTGCAAATGGATTGTTGGTTTTATTTACACAGTGCTGGTGATGACGGTGATAAATGTACAAGTTGATATATTTAGAAAAGGTCTGACTTCCAAATGTCAGTATTCAAAAGACAAAAAACTCTTATCAGGCAAAACCTGTCTTAACCAGAAAGCGCAGGTGAGGTCTACTAGGCTCAGATGCAGCCTCCCCAAAACCAAAAGAACATACCCAAACGGTAGAGCTGCACAATTAATCAAAATTGCGATATTGACATACGCAATACCAATAAATCGAAAGAGTCTGCAATATTTTGAAACGCCACTTAGCCGTTAAACGGCCGTTTCTTTTACTTTTGATTTATTACTTGAGTTGACAGAGTTCCCTCTCCATCTCTCCTCTTTAGGCCGCTTCCCAATCCCACACACAGCAAGCCCCGCCCAGTCACTCAAGCAGGCAGTTCCTTGAGTTGCAGATTCACTCTGCATGCATTGACCAAACAACAGCATGCAGTCAACTGATTTTTCCAAACAAGAACGACGTAGCTTTCCACTTTGCTTCTTAATTTAAATCCACGTTCTCTACACCGAGTGTACAAAACATTAAGAACACCTTCCTAATATTGAGTTGCCCTCAATTCGTCGGGGCATGGACTCTACAAGGTGTCGAAAGCGTTCCATAGGGATGCTGTCCCAAGTTGACTCCAATGCTTCCCATAGTTGTGTCAAGTTGGCTGGGTGTTATAAATTGATTTGCATTTTAATGAGGGAAATAAGTATTTGACCCCTCTGCAAAACATGACTTAGTACTTGGTGGCAAAACCCTTGTTGGCAATCACAGAGGTCAGAAGTTTCTTGTAGTTGGCCACCAGGTTTGCACACATCTCAGGAGGGATTTTGTTCCACTCCTCTTTGCAGATCTTCTCCAAGTCATTAAGGTTTTGAGGCTGACGTTTGGCAACTCGAACCTTCAGCTCCCTCCACAGATTTTCTATGGGATTAAGGTCTGGAGACTGGCTAGGCCACGCCATGACCTTGATGTGCTTATTCTTGAGCCACTCCTTTGTTGCCTTGGCCGTGTGTTTTGGGTCATTGTCATGCTGGAATACCCATCCACGACCCATTTTCAATGCCCTGGCTGAGGGAAGGAGGTTCTCACCCAAAATTTGACGGCACATGGCCCCGTCCATCGTCCCTTTGATGTGGTGAAGTTGTCCTGTCCCCTTAGCAGAAAAACACCCCCAAAGCATAATGTTTCCACCTCCATGTTTGACGGTGGGGATGGTGTTCTTGGGGTCATAGGCAGCATTCCTCCTCCTCCAAACACGGCGAGTTGAGTTGATGCCAAAGATCTCGATTTTGGTCTCATCTGACCACAACACTTTCACCCAGTTCTCCTCTGAATCATTCAGATGTTCATTGGCAAACTTCAGACGGCCCTGTATATGTGCTTTCTTGATCAAGGGGACCTTGCGGGCGCTGCAGGATTTCAGTCCTTCAGGGCGTAGTGTGTTACCAAAATTGTTTTCTTGGTGACTATGGTCCCAGCTGCCTTGAGATCATTGACAAGATCCTCCCGTGTAGTTCTGGGCTGATTCCTCACCGTTCTCATGATCATTGCAACTCCCCAAGGTGAGATCTTGCATGGAGCCCCAGGCCGAGGGAGATTGACAGTTATTTTGTGTTTCTTCCATTTGCGAATAATCGCACCAACTGTTGTCACCTTCTCACCAAGCTGCTTGGTGATGGTCTTGTAGCCCATTCCAGCCTTGTGTAGGTCTACAATCTTGTCCCTGACATCCTTGGAGAGCTCTTTGGTCTTGGGAATGGTGGAGAGTTTGGAATATGATTGATTGATTGCTTCTGTGGACAGGTGTCTTTTATACAGGTAACAAGCTGAGATTAGGAGCACTCCCTTTAAGAGTGTGCTCCTAATCTCAGCTCGTTAGCTGTATAAAAGACACCTGGGAGCCAGAAATCTTTCTGATTGAGAGGGGGTCAAATACTTATTTCCCTCATCAAAATGCAAATCAATTTATAACATTTTTTACATGTGTTTTTCTGGATTTTTGTTGTTGTTATTCTGTGTCTCACTGTTCAAATAAACCTACCATTAAAATTATAGACTGATCATTTCTTTGTCAGTGGGCAAACGTACAAAATCAGCAGGGGATCAAATACTTTTTTCCCTCACTGTACATAATCAATTTCTCAATTGTCTCAAGGCTTAAAAGTCCTTCTTTAACCGGTCTCCTCCCCTTCATCTACACTAATTGAAGTGGATTTAACAAGTGACATCAATAAGGGATCATTGCGTTCACCTGGATTCAACTGGTCAGTCTGTCATGGAAAGAGCAGGTGTTCTTAATATTTTGTACACTCAGTGTATATATGTTTGTGTAACTTTCTCTCTGCAAAATGCTAGTTGGTGGGTCTTAGCAAGCTGCAAAAGCGCCCAATTTATTTTTTGTTAGCCCCCAATGCTAATCGCTAGCTAACTGGCTAGCTAAATCCACTGAGATAGGGGAAACTCTTGCTAGCAAACTTTTGCGCTAATACAGCCCGGTAAAAGTGGTGGAGTAAATCAGCATTGTTTTTATTTTATTTTATTTTATTTCACCTTTATTTAACCAGGTAAACCAGTTGAGAACAAGTTCTCATTTACAACTGCGACCTGGCCAAGATAAATCAAAGCAGTGCGATAAAAACAACAACACAGAGTTACATATGGGGTAAAACAAAACAAAGTCAAAAATACCACAGAAATACATATAATATACAGTGTGCAAATTTAGCAAGTTATGGAGGTAAGGCAATAAAATAGGCTATAGTGCAAAATAATTACAATTTAGTATTAACACTGGAATGATGTGCAAGAGATTATGTGCAAATAGAGATACTGGGGTACAAATGAGCAAAAATAAATAACAATATAGGGATGAGGTAGTTGGGCGGGCTAATTTCAGATGGGCTGTGTACAGGTGCAGTGATCGGTAAGGTGCTCTGACAACTGATGCTTAAAGTTAGTGAGGGAGATAAGTGTCTCCAGCTTCAGAGATTTTTGCAATTTGTTCCAGTCATTGACAGCAGAGAACTGGAAGGAATTGCGGCCAAAGGAGGTGTTGGCTTTGGGGATGACCAGTGAGATATACCCGCTGGAGCGCAGACTACGGGTGGGTGTTGCTATGGTGACCAATGAGCTAAGATAAGGTGGGGATTTGCCTAGCAGTGATTTATAGATGGCCTGGAGCCAGTGGGTTTGGCGACGAATATGTAGTGAGGACCAGCCAACAAGAGCGTACAGGTCACAGTGGTGGGTATTATATGGGGCTTTGGAGACAAAACGGATGGCACTGTGATAGACAACATCCAATTTGCTGAGTAGAGTGTTGGAGGCTATTTTGTAAATGACATCGCCGAAGTCAAGGATCGGTAGGATAGTCAGTTTTACGAGGGCATGTTTGGCAGCATGAGTGAAGGAGGCTTTGTTGCGAAATAGGAAACCGATTCTAGATTTAACTTTGGATTGGAGATTCTTAATGTGAGTCTGGAAGGAGAGTTTACAGTCTAACCAGACACCTAGATATTTGTAGTTGTCCACATACTCTAGGTCAGACCCGTCTAGAGTAGTGATTCTAGTCGGCTGGGCGGGTGCAAGCAGCGTTCGGTTGAAGAGCATGCATTTAGTTTTACTAGTGTTTAAGAGCAGTTGGAGGCTACTGAAGGAGTGTTGTATGGAATTGAAGCTCGTTTGGAGGTTTGTTAACACAGTGTCCAATGAAGGGCCAGATGTATACAAAATGGTGTCGTCTGCGTAGAGGTGGATCTGAGAGTCACCAGCAGCAAGAGCGACGTCATTGATATACACAGAGAAAATAGTTGGCCCAAGAATTGAACCCTGTGGCACCCCCATAGAGACTGCCATAGGTCCAGACAACAGGCCCTCCGATTTGACACATTGAACTCTATCTGAGAAGTAGTTGGTGAACCAGGCGAGGCAGTCATTTGAGAAACCAAGGCTATTTAGTCTGCCAATAAGAATGCGGTGGTTGACAGAGTCGAAAGCCTTGGCCAGGTCAATGAAAACGGCTGCACAGTACTGTCTATTATCGATCGCGGTTATAATATCGTTTAGGACCTTGAGCGTGGCTGAAGTGCACCCATGACCAGCTCGGAAACCGGATTGCATAGCGGAGAAGGTACGGTGGGATTCGAAATGGTCGGTGATCTGTTTGTTGACTTGGCTTTCAAAAACTTTTGAAAGGCAGGGCAGGATGGATATGGGTCTGTAACAGTTTGGATCTAGAGTGTCACCCCCTTTGAAGAGGGGGATGACCGCGGCAGCTTTCCAATCTCTGGGGATCTCAGACGTTACGAAAGAGAGGTTGAACAGGCTAGTAATAGGGGTTGCGACAATTTCGGCGGCTAGTTTTAGAAAGAAAGGGTCCAGATTGTCTAGCCCAGCTGATTTGTAGGGGTCCAGATTTTGCAGCTCTTTTAGAACATCAGCTGTCTGGATTTGTGTGAAGGAGAAGCGGGGGGGGCATGGGTAAGTTGCAGCGGAGGGTGCAGAGCTGGTGGCCGGGGTAGTGGTAGCCAGGTGGAAAGCATGGCCAGCCGTAGCAAAATGCTTGTTGAAATTCTCGATTATTGTAGATTTATCGGTGGTGATAGTGTTTCCTAGCCTCAGTGCAGTGGGCAGCTGGGAGGAAGTGCTCTTATTTTCCATGGACTTTACAGTGTCCCAAAACTTTTTGGAGTTAGTGCTACAGGATGCAAATTTCAGTTTGAAAAAGTTAGCCTTTGCTTTCCTAACTGCTTGTGTATATCGGTTCCTAACTTCCCTGAAAAGTTGCATATCGCGGGGGCTATTTGATGCTAATGCAGTACGCCACAGGATGTTTTTGTGCTGGTCAAGGGCAGTCAAGTCTGAGGAGAACCAGGGGCTATATCGGTTCTTAGTTCTGTATTTTTTGAATGGGGCATGTCTATTTAAGATTGAGAGGAAATTACTTTTAAAGAACAACCAGGCATCCTCTACTGACAGAATGAGATCTATATCCATCCAGGATACCTGGGCCAGGTCAATTAGGAAGGCCTGCTCGCTGAAGTGTTTTTGGGAGCGTTTGACAGTGATGAGGGGTGGTCGTTTGACCGCGGACCCGTTACGGACGCAGGCAATAAGGCAGTGATCGCTGAGATCCTGGTTGAAGACAGCAGAGGTGTATTTAGAGGGTAAGTTAGTCAGGATGATATCTATGAGGGTACCCATGTTTACGGATTTAGGGTTGTACCTGGTAGGTTCGTTGATAATTTGTGTGAGACTGAGGGCATCTAGTTTAGATTGTAGGACGGCCGGGGTGTTAAGCATATCCCAGTTTAGGTCACCAAGCAGTACGAACTCTGAGGATAGATGGGGGGCGATCAATTCACATATGGTGTCCAGGGCACAGCTGGGGGCTGAGGGGGGTCTGTAGCAAGCGGCAACAGTGAGAGATTTATTTCTGGAAAGGTGGATTTTTAGAAGTAGAAGCTCAAACTGTTTGGGCACAGACCTGGATAGTATGATGGAGCTCTGCAGGCTCTCTCTACAGTAGATTGCAACTCCACCCCCTTTGGCAGTTCTATCTAGACGGAAAATGTTATAGTTGGGGATGGAAATTTCAGAATTTTTGGTGGCCTTCCTTGTAGAATAGCTTGCTCTTAAAATCAGATGAAAAGGCGCAGAATATTCTAAAATCTATGTCTGAATGTACCCATCTATTTAAATCTAATTAGGGTCCCCTGGGAAACACTGACCCACTTTGGTTCCTACTCTGTCACAACCATCTCCTCCCTGACTTTTTCATTCGTTGTCATGCCAAACAAAACTGCATTGCAAGTTCCCATTGTACTCCAACCATAAAATTAGAATGATCATTCTATTTCTATGATTCCAACAGTTTACCTAAGTGTTTTGATCTATAATCGCAAGTAAAATCGCTCTATTTGGGACAGAATCGCAATGCAGGCCTACCAAACGGACACTTAACTACAATAAGCCACACCTATCCTGGCGGACAGGCCAGGTACTTCTGTATGCACGCATTCACAAAACCTTGACAAGACAGAGAAACCGGACACATGCTCGCCAAACAAAGACAATTAAGATATTGACACTAAACTGGTAAATAGAATGAAATAAACCAAAACTTATTTCTAATGAGTGTAGCGCAGTTTGTGAGCTTTACAAACAACATTTCCTCTTCGGGAATGAGAATGGTTTGAATGTATTAACATAAATTACCGTAGGCCTCGATTACTGGGATTAACGGTAACATATTTTTTTTTGTTTTGCTTTTTGCTTTTTTTTCTCTCAAATTTCGTGGTATCCAATTGGTAGTTTCAGTCCTGTCACATCGCTGCAACTCCCGTACGGACACGGGAGAGGCGAAGGTCGAGAGTTGTGCGTCCTCCGAAACACAACCCAACCTAGCCGCACTGCTTCTTGACACAGTGCCCGCTTAACCCGGAAGCCAGCCGCACCAATGTGCCGGAGGAAACACCGTACACCTGGCGACCTAGTCAGCGTGCACTGCGCCCGGCCCGCCACAGGAGTCGCTAGTGCGCGATTTGACAGGAACATCCCTGGCGGCCAAACCCTCCCCTTCCCTGGACGGCGCTAGGCCAATTGTGCGCCGCTGATAAAGTAATGTGTGAGTAAGATATGACTAAAATGTCACACCCTCAGTTAAACTAATAAATGTATGACTATTAGAAGACTAGAGATTAGAGAGTTAATCATATGTGCTTATATAAGATGCATATTTGCCCAGCAACAGAGTATTTGTGTCTTGTAATTAGGCAAGTAGAAGTGCAAACGTTGAAACCAATAACAGGAGACTGGTTTCAAAAAACAGAGGTCCCCACACAGGGAGGGGGAGTGAAAGGCTTGCAGGATATTGTGAGAACAGCGATAACTATGTATGGGAATAGAGAGAAAATGCAGCCTGCCCGAGCAAGGAGTAGGCTATGATAAGAACATGAGTGTGTGTGAGAGTGTAAAGAGACTGTGCGCCCATTTTGTGGCAGAGCCCTCTCTGAATAAATACTGATCCTTGTATGTTGGGACTCTGTCTGATTCATTGAACTGGAGCTTTTACAACCTTCAGGACTATAGTTCAGTTTGAACATTGAGATACAAAATTCTCGTGACAGCCGCCCCATGGGTCTCCCGGTCACGGCCGGCTGCAACAGAGCCTGGATCGAACCAGGATCTCTAGTGGCACAGCTAGCACTGCGATGCAGTGCCTTAGACCACTGCGACACTCGGAAGGCCTAGATACTGTATATTTAACAAGGAATTGACAAACAATGGGCAAATAACTGACACACTGAAACAATGATGACGCATTGGTTAGGTCTGCCCGTACACCTGTCAATTAACCTTGCCTTCACCTATCCAGGTCTGGCAGATCTAGGAACATTGAAGGGGTGTAGAAAGGGGATAGGTGCAGAAATGGAACCAGGCCTTACACACACCGAAAGAATAGGTGCTTCGGGTAAGAATTTAACCAACTAACCACCAGTGTGTCACTTACCTACAAATCCGTTGGGGTCCTGCCCGTCCAGCTCGTATCGGTCGTTGAGGTAGATGGCGATGGAGAGCGCTCCCTCTGGTGAGGAGGTCCACTCCAGGATCTTCTTGGCCCAGTACATCCTTAGGAAGCCATGCATCTTACCCTCAATCACCATCTGGTACTACAGGAGGAAGGAGACAAGATGGAGTACTTATTACAGTGATATAGGGCTGTCCCCGACAAAAACAAATCTTGGTCGACCAAGAGTCGTCTGTTCTTTCGACCAATCGATTAGTAATAAAAAAATTATAAAGACGTATGTTTTCACATTTTCCCACATTTTGATACGTTACAGCCTTATTCTAAAATGGATTAAATTGTTTCCCCCCCCCATCTACACACAATACCCCATAATGACAAAGCAAAAACAGGTTTTTAGAAATCTTTGCAAATTTATAAAAATAATTGAAATATCACATTTACATAAGTATTCAGACCATTTACTCAGTACTTTGTTGAAGCACATTTGGCAGTGATTACAGTCTCAACTCCAAGTGGGCTGTCATGTGCCTTTTACTGAGGAGTGGCTTCTGTCTGGCCACTCTACCATAAAGGCCTGATTGGTGGAGTGCTGCAGAGATGGTTGTCCTTCTGGAAGGTTCTCCCATCTCCACAGAAGAACTCTGGAGCTATGTCAGAGTGACCATCGGGTTCTTGGTCACCTCCCTGACCAAGGCCCTTCTTCCCCGATTGCTCAGTTTGGGTGGGCGGCCAGCTCTATGAAGAGTCTTGGTGGTTCCAAACTTCTTCCATTTAAGAATGATGGAGGGAACTGTGTTCTTGGGGACCTTCAATAATGCAGAAATGTTTTGGTACCCTTCCCCAGGTTTGTGCCTCGACACAATCCTGTCTCGGAGCTCTACGGACAATTCCTTTGACCTCATGGCTTGGTTTTTGCTCTGATATGCACTGTCAACTGTGGGACCTTATATAGACAGGTGTGTGCCTTTCCAAATCATATCCAATCAATTGAATTTACCACAGGTGGACTCCAATGAAGTTGTAGAAACATCTCAAGGATGATCAATGGAAACAGGATGCACAAGCTCAATTTTGAGTCTCATAGCAAAGGGTCTGAATACTTATGTAAATAAGGTATTTCTGTTGTTAATTTTGAATACATTTGCAAAAATTTCTAAAAACCTGTTTTCGCTTTGTCATTATGGGGTAATGTGTGTAGATTGATGAGATTTTTACTTTATTTTATCCATTTTAGAATAAGGCTGTAACGTAACAAAATGTGGAAAAAGTCAAGGGATCTGAATACTTTCCGAATGCACTGTATAAACACATCCTATGCATCAATTACCGTAATTTTCGGACTATAAGCCGCGCCTTTTTTCCAATTTTTCGACCCTGCGGCTTATATAACGGTGCGGCTAATCTATGGATTTTTACAGCTAACGGCCACTAGAAGACCTCCTAAATCTATGGATTTTACAGGTTACAGTCCACCAACTTTAACTCTATGGGCTCTATGACCGGTCCGCGCCCCCCACCTTTAAGCGGCGGGCTCCAGCAGGACAAGCTGGAGGCCGGAAAAGAGTGAGACAGGTAGCGCGCAAAAGTAAAAGTGGAACCGAGAGTGGTACGAGAGACAGAACAAGAGACAGAACGAGAGCAAGACAGACAGACATTACGAGAGCGAGACAGTTTGTCTCTTTCCCGATAATCCCCTCTGTGCACGAACCCTTACATATGGTAATTAAACATTAAAACACCTGCGGCTTATAGTCCAGTGCGGCTTATATATGTACACATCATTCAATATCATTCAATTTAGCTGCTGCGGCTTATCGGTGCGCCTTATAGTGCGGAAAATACGGTATATGCACTGAGCTTGTCCGATGCTTTAAGCGCATTGTTTGATAATAATAATAATAATAATAATAATAATAATAATAATAATAATAATAAGCCATTTAGCAGACGCTTTTATCCAAAGCGACTTACAGTCATGTGTGCATAAATTTTTACGTATGGGTGGTCCCGGGGATCGAACCCACTACCCTGGCGTTACAAGCGCCATGCTCTACCAATTGAGCTACAGAGGACCACGATGAAATAATTAGACACAAATGACTGGATTGCATTTCAAATCATGAATGACTCGTATGCTGTGTGATGACATGAACGAATGAATGATTGATACAGAAGCCTATATAAGTATTGAAATATAGGCCTAAGTAAGTTACGGTATTAGGACTAAACAGGATGCGCTCTTTGGCCTACAGCTCGATGGTGATTATATAAGGCTGCTATACTAAGCCTACTAATGATAATGACATGACTTATTATAATGATGATCATAACAATAATAATAATAATAATAATAATAACAACAACAACAAGGAGATCAAGAAAAAGTTGCGTTATTATTATAATAAATATTTCTGACAATTTGGAACAGTGTAAACACTAAATATATAAGTAATACCAGAGGCTGTTCTAACGAAGAAAATAAAGCGTAAAGCCTTTATTACAGCATAGCAAAGATTTAAAAAATAGCAGAATTTGTGAAATTGTTTATCGACATGTGGTTGCGTGAGGCTTAGTGCTCACGGAATAAGTAGGCTATTAAACATACACTCAAACTGGCAACAGAAGCAGGATCTGTCTTATTTCTGTAGATATAAACTATATATACAAAAGTATGTGGGCACCCCTTCAAATGAGAGGATTTGGCTATTTCCGTTGCTGACAGGTGTATAAAATCAAGCGCACAGCCATGCAATCTCCATAGACAAACATTGGCAGTAGAATGGCATAACTAAAGAGCTCAGTGACTTTCAATGTGGCACCGTCATAGGATGCCACATTTCCAACAAGTCAGTTTGTCAAATTTCTGCCTTGCTAGAGCTGCCCCGGTCAACTGTAAGTGCTGTTATTGTGAAGTGGAAACGTCTAGGAGCAACAACAGCTCAGCCCTGAAGTGGTAGGCCACACAAGCTCACAGAACGGGACCGCTGAGAGCTGAAGCGCATAAAAATTGTCTGTCCTCAGTTGCAACACTCACTACAGAGTTCCAAACTTCCTCTGGAAGCAACGTCAGCACAATAACTGTTCATCGGGAGCTTCATGAAATGGGTTTCCATGACCGAGCAGCCGCACACAAGCCTAAGATCACTATGCACAATGCCAAGCGTCGGCTGGAGTGGTGTAAAGCTCGCTGTCATTGGACTCTGGAGCAGTGGAAATGCGTTCTCTGGAGTGATGACTCACGCTTCACTATCTGGCAGTCCGACGGACGAATCTGGGTTTGGCGGATGCCAGGAGAACGATACCTGCCACATGTGACCTTGTTGGTTTCTGAAGACTATGAGCAGAAGCATATAGGAGAAATTATGACAGAAGCAGAGAAAGCTGTTTTTGTACCAATGAAAGAGAATTTGGCGATTTGGAGGAGTGAAGATCAGCGATTTCTCAAAATCATGATTTCGGCTCAAAGACAAGGACAGCCAACAAGCTGTATGGATGACACATGAATCTATTTGCAGTGCGAAGATGGATTCAGACCCTATGAAAGAGGAGATGTTGCAACAAGTTCCAGAAGGTTTGTGGTCTCAACACAGTGCCGATATTGGACTTGTGAAATCAGCCCAACCGGTGAAAGTTGAACTTCGACCAGGAGCCAGACCTCCTTGGAAGAATCAGTATCCATTGAAAGATGAAGCAATCCACAAGGGATTGAACCACAAATTGAAGGACTTTCGAAAGCAGGTGTTTTCAGGAAAATAAAAAATCCTCAGAGTAACACACCTTTGTTGCCTTTGAAGAAACCCGATGAGACTTATCGTATGGTTCATGATTTGAGAGCAGTGAATGAAGTAGGGACCTTTGAGAGCTATGGTTAAAGACACTGGGAATGGACAACTCCATAGCAATCTTTCCTGGACACAAGAAGGCCTTGTGGCATTTGAAACGATCAGAGGTTACAGGAGGCACCTGCACTCACACTACTCTAAGAATGTCTTGCTATATGTGTCTACTTCTACTGGAGGTAAATATGCATGTGCAGTTCTTTGTCAGCCGACAGGTACAGGGACAAATCCTCAACCTATTTCCTACTACTCTACTGCCTATTCAGAAGTAGAACTAGGGCTACCACTGTGCTACAGAGCAATGGTGGGAGTATATTCAATGTATGACAAAGCATCATCTGTTACGATGGGTTACCCAGTAACAATTCTTACCCATCATAGTCTCAGAAATCTTCTGAACTATGGAAAATATACATTGACTATGCCTAGGCTCAGAGACTATCATAGGCTCTTAGAGCAGGAAGATGTCACCCTAGTGAGGTGTGATACGGTGAATCCAACCGAGAATTTGCCAACTTCAGAGGATGGTGAGCCACATGATTGTGTTCAAGAAGCAGAGAAATACTCGAGGCTTAGATCAGATTTGCAAGCCTTTCCATTACGTGAGGCAGACCTGGAGTATTGGACTGATGGGTCTTGTTATCGTGTGGGAGATAAATTGTGTGCTAACTATGCAGTAGTTAAAGCCCAAGGAAATGGATTTGTTGTTGAAAAGGCTGAAGTAATAACACAGCCTGCGTCCGCACAACTTGCTGAACTTGTGGGGCTAACAGAAGCGTGTTTGTTAGCAGAAGGAAAGCGAGTGACGATATATACTGATTCTGCATATGCACATAGTGTGTGTCATTTGTTTGGAGCAGTGTGGAAAGGTCGAGGGTTTAAGAAAACGGATGGTTCTCCGATACAACATCATGCGCAAATAATGAAATTGTTGCATGCTATGATGAAGCCTAAAGAGATAGCAATAGCTAAGTGTGCAGCTCATAAAACAGATGTGTCAAAAGTCACACAAGGGAACAAAGCTGCTGATGAAGCTGCAAAAGCCGTCACAGGAGCGGACAAATTGGGAAGGTTTTTCTGGTCACTCATGGAGTGGACTTGGAAGACAAAATTACGCTGAAGGATGTGATTTTGATACAGGAAGCTGCTTCTACGATTGACAAACAGTTATGGCTAGACCGAGGTGCCGTCAAAGATGCTACTGGTCTTTGGAGAAACCATGAGGGGTTGATAGTAGCGCCTCTAGACCTATTAGGCCTGATGATTCAGGAAGCACATGGGTTAGCTCATGTTGCAAGGGGGGAGGTTAGGAGAAAGATCACAAAGGAGTATGGATTTTGGGCACCATATTTGCTTGAACAGGTTGACTATGTCATAGGCAGGTGCACAATCTGTCTGAAAAATAATGTTCGCAGGGGTGTGACTGTTCTTCCTGGTCACATTCCTACACCGAGAGGTCCTATGTGTGAGTTGGTTATCGACTTTGTTGATATGATAAAACCAGTTGAAGGGAAAATATATATGCTGGTGGTTGTGGATAGATTTTCACGATGGCCGGAGGCCTGTCCAACCAAGCGAAAAGACGCTCAATCGGTTGCCAAGTTCTTGTGTAAAGAAGTCATAAGCAGGTGGGGACTTCCTGATCGAATATCCTCAGAAAATGGGAAAGAGTTTTGTGGATAAATCAGTGAAATTGATTTGAAAAAAATTGGGGAAAAAAGTCAGACCAAAACGTTATGAAAACTAGGTTTGAAGTAACTCTAGGAAATTTTGAATATCTGATTGTGTGATAATTTTCACATTTCTTTGCATATTATTGTGATATTTAGTATTTTCTTATGAATCAAAGGGGGGAAATGGAATGTGATTCATTTTATATATCAATTTATATATCATTTTTATATTATTTTTGATATTGATGTTTTAATTTGCATGTGTTGCTTTGCAAAAGATACTGGTTGGTGTTTTCTTTTCTTCCAGAAGCATATGGGGGAATGTGTATAGTGGGATTCAAATACTCAAACATGGACAATATGAATGGACTGGAGGAAGTTGAACAAGGAAGATGTGGAAATGTTCAGATTCCATCATCGACGTTACATTGAAAGTCGACACTGCTGAGGAGATGCAGTGTAGTGGACTACATTTCAGTGTCTGCATGTGTAATACATAATTTGTGTCATATTCTTTCTGTATAATTTTTTTGAAGAATCATGTTGTTTTCTGTTGTTGGGTACATGTGGGGACCTCAGATGTTTTTGTTTTTTTCGTGGATGCTTAGGGATATTGGGTCTAGGCAGGGACAGAGAGAATGTGGACATTTTTGATTGTATTTTGTTTTCTGAGGTTTTCATGTGTATTCAATTGCATCATAGCTTAAAATGCATTGATAAAAATGTATAAATTAATCTGGAGTACTTAGGTGGTCGCCTGGGGCAGAGGGGCCGTGAGAGAATTTTCCTGTCTTGATTGATTGATGGATATTTGGAATGAAAGCTGCCAGACAGGTTTTTTTCGCTCTCACACTCCATAAAAATTAGTTTACACTCCATGAAAATTTGTCTACATAAAAATTTGTTTACTCTCCATAAATTTTGTTTTATTGCTAAAGTTACTCAAGAAGCCTGATGTAATAAAAATTGTTATTTGTCATAATCCTATTATTTTTGTTTTCGAGTCTCGAAGGGGGGAAATATGTAGTATCTGAACAGTTTATAATTTTGGCTGACGTTTGCAAATGGTGTGTTAGAGGAATTTTATTCTGCCTTGCTGAAACATCTGGAAAGCATTACTATAGGGGCCCCCTGAAATAGAGGACACTTGGATATGTGGAGGCCAGGGATTGGTCTATCCAAAAACACCCATCTTATGTTACATAGGATATATACCAACTTTTGAACAAAGGACGGAGAGAATAATCATATTTGAGATTGGGTTAGTTGTTCTCCAGATTCTGCAGAAATCTGTAAATTGACGCTGAAATCTTTTGATATAATAAACCTTTATTATCAAAGTACAGTGTCAGCGGATTCCTTGTCAACACAGCATATCAGCATCGTTGTTCGGCCACCACAGTACCTTTGCTATTATCGCACATTGCAACATGGTCTAGGAAAAGGCGCCAATTTAACAGTGCATTGATGTTTCAGAACGGCGGCCAGCGACCGCTATCCAAACGTGGGAGAAAGCACATTTGTTATCAAATGATATTTTTATTAGTGTTGCGCCATTGTTCTTATGTAATATAACCATATACAATTTCAGTAGTGAATGTCTTAGCGTGATGGACTGTGCCATCCCCACGGCCTCCACAATGGATTAGTCCACTCAGACAAGCGCGAATCAAGACAGGTGTCTTGTACACCATGATTTATTTTTATTGCTACTGCTCAACTAAAGACATCTCGGTCGACCAACAGCCTATCGACCAAACAATCATAAATTGGGGTCAGCCCGACAGTGATAGTTCACTTTATTTAAGTTGCTATGGATAAAAGTGTCTGCTAAATGGCATATTTCATTACATGATTTATGTTAAGAAATAAATACAAATCTTCTTGTTGTTCTGAGAATTGCTGAATTGGCTGGTTTGCATGTTGATAGTCTATGGGAGGTCAGTTCTGTAAACGATACCTGGGCTGCGTTCCAGAGCTTGTCGTGGGTCTGGGCTTTCTCCAGCTGCTTGCGGGTATAGACGTACGGCCTGATGTCTTTGGCGTGATCCTTCAACGTTTTCTGGGCCCAGTCATTCGCACCTAGATCAAATACAAGGATAATTCATTTTAATTTAGCAAAACAGAACGGAATCATCCCTTCCCCATTAAAAATGTCACAATGGACTTTCTTAAATTGTTGCATTGTCCAAGTGCCTGCACATAATCTACCATATAATACTAATAAAATCAAATGTTATTTGTTATTTGAAATGCTTACTTACGGGCCCTTCCCAATAATGTAGAGAGAAAGAAAATAGAGAAATAAAAGTAATAAAAGTAATAATAAATAAACAATGAGTAACGATAACGTGGCTTTATACACAGGGTACCGGTACCGAATCTTTGTGCAGGGGTACAAGGTAATTGAGGTAGATATGTACATATAACTAGGAATAAATTGACTAGGCAACAGGATAGATAAACAATAGCAGCAGTGAATGTGATGAGTCAAATAAGTTAGTGCATAAAGGGTCAATGCAGACAGATAAATAGTTCACCAAATAGCTACCCGGACTAACTATTTAGAAGCCTTATGGCTTGGGGGTAGAAGCTGTTCAGGATCCTGTTGGTTCCAGACTTGGTGCATCGGTACCACTTGCCATGCGGTAGCAGAGAGAACAGTCTATGACTAGGGTGGCTGGAGTCTTGACAATTTTTAGGGCCTTCCTCTGACACCGCCTGGTATAGAGGTCCTGGGTGGCAGGGAGCTCGGCCCTCTGTAGCGCCTTGCAGTCGGATGCCAAACAGTTGCCATACAAAGCAGTGATGCAGCCAGTCAAGATGCTCTCAATGGTGCAGCTGTAGGACTTTTGAGGATCTGAGGACCCATGCCAAATCTTTTCAGAGAATACTTATGTAAATAAGGTATTTCTGTTGTGTTAATACATTTGCAAAAATGTCTAAAAACCTGTTTTCACTTTGTAATTATGGGGTATTGTGTGTAGATTGATGAGGATTTGTATTTATTTAATCCATTTTAGAATAAGGCTGTAACGTAACAAAATGTGGAAAAATGAAAGGGTCTGAACACTTTCCGAAGGCACATGCATACACACGATAACATATGCACTATACACACACGTACACATGGATTTTGTGTTGTACAGTGGGGAAAAAAATTATTTAGTCAGCCACCAATTGTGCAAGTTCTCCCACTTAAAAAGATGAGAGAGGCCTGTAATTGTCATCATAGGTACACGTCAACTATGACAGACAAAATGAGGGGAAAAAAATCCAGAAAATCACATTGTAGGATTTTTAATGAATTTGTTTGCAAATTATGGTGGAAAATAAGTATTTGGTCAATAACAAAAGTTTCTCAATACTTTGTTATATACCCTTTGTTGGCAATGACACAGGTCAAATGTTTTCTGTAAGTCTTCACAAGGTTTTCACACACTGTTGCTGGTATTTTGGCCCATTCCTCCATGCAGATCTCCTCTAGAGCAGTGATGTTTTGGGGCTGTCGCTGGGCAACACAGACTTTCAACTCCCTCCAAAGATTTTCTATGGGGTTGAGATCTGGAGACTGGCTAGGCCACTCCAGGACCTTGAAATGCTTCTTACGAAGCCACTCCTTCGTTGCCCGGGCGGTGTGTTTGGGATCATTGTCATGCTGAAAGACCCAGCCACGTTTCATCTTCAATGCCCTTGCTGATGGAAGGAGGTTTTCACTCAAAATCTCACGATACATGGCCCCATTCATTCTTTCCTTTACACGGATCAGTCGTCCTGGTCCCTTTGCAGAAAAACAGCCCCAAAGCATGATGTTTCCACCCCCATGCTTCACAGTAGGTATGGTGTTCTTTGGATGCAACTCAGCATTCTTTGTCCTCCAAACACGACAAGTTGAGTTTTTACCAAAAAGTTCTATTTTGGTTTCATCTGACCATATGACATTCTCCCAATCCTCTTCTGGTTCATCCAAATGCACTCTAGCAAACTTCAGACGGGCCTGGACATGTACTGGCTTAAGCAGGGGGACACGTCTGGCAGTGCAGGATTTGAGTCCCTGGCGGCGTAGTGTGTTACTGATGGTAGGCTTTGTTACTTTGGTCCCAGCTCTCTGCAGGTCATTCACTAGGTCCCCCCGTGTGGTTCTGGGATTTTTGCTCACCGTTCTTGTGATCATTTTGACCCCACGGGGTGAGATCTTGCATGGAGCCCCAGATCGAGGGAGATTATCAGTGGTCTTGTATGTCTTCCATTTCCTAATAATTGCTCCCACAGTTGATTTCTTCAAACCAAGCTGCTTACCTATTGCAGATTCAGTCTTCCCAGCCTGGTGCAGGTATACAATTTTGTTTCTGGTGTCCTTTGACAGCTCTTTGGTCTTGGCCATAGTGGAGTTTGGAGTGTGACTGTTTGAGGTTGTGGACAGGTGTCTTTTATACTGATAACAAGTTCAAACAGGTGCCATTAATACAGGTAATGAGTGGAGGACAGAGGAGCCTCTTAAAGAAGAAGTTACAGGTCTGTGAGAGCCAGAAATCTTGCTTGTTTGTAGGTGACCAAATACTTATTTTCCACCATAATTTGCAAATAAATTCATTAAAAATCCTACAATGTGATTTTCTGGATTTTTTCCCCTCAATTTGTCTGTCATAGTTGACGTGTACCTATGATGAAAATTACAGGCCTCTCTCATCTTTTGAAGAGGGAGAACTTGCACAATTGGTGGCTGACTAAATACTTTTTATCCCCACTGTATGGTAGGGGCCTGAGGGCACACACTTAATGTGTTTTGAAATCTGTTATGAATGTATTGTAATGTTTTTAAAATTGTATAACTGCCTTAATTTTGCTGGACCCCAGGAAGAGTAGCTGATGCCTTGGCAGCAGCTAATGGGAATCCATAATAAATAAATACAAATACATACGGTCACTATGGGAACGACGTCGTCGATGCACTTGTTAATGAAGCCGGTGACTGATGTGGTATACCCCTCAATGCCAACGGATGAATCCCGGAACATATTCCAGTCTGTGCTAGCCAACGTCCTGTAGCTTAGCATCCGCTTCATCGGACCACTTCCGTATTGAGCGAGTCACTGGTACTTCCTGTTTGAGTTTTTGCTTGTAAGCAGGAATCAGGAGGATAGAGTTATGGTCAGAGTTCCCAAACGGAGGGCGAGGGAGAGCTTTGTATGCCTTTCTGTGTACGGAGTAAAGGTGATCTAGAGTTGTCTCCTCTAGTTGCACAGGTGACATGCTGGTAGAAGTGAGGTAGAACGGATCTGTTTCCCTGCATTAAAATCACCGACCATTAGGAGCGCCGCCTCTGGATGAGCATTTTCTTGTTTGCTTATGGCCAACACACCTCGTTGAATGTGGTCTTAGTGCCAGCATCGATTTGTAGTGGTAAATAGACGGCTACGAATAATATATATGAAAACTCTCTTAGTAGATAGTGGTTTGATATTTGGTCTACAGCTTATCATGAGGTATTCTAGCTCGGGCACCAGCTGTTGTTAAAGAGAAACACACCTCTCCCTTGAGCTTTACTCGAGTCTTCCGTTCGATCCTGCAGATGCATACAGTGAGGTAAAAAAGTATTTGATCCCCTGCTGATTTTGTACATTTGCCCACTGACAAAAGAAATGATCAGTCTATAATTTTAAATGGTAGGTTTATTTGAACAGTGAGAGACAGAATAACAACAAAAAAATCCAGAAAAACACATGTAAAAAATGTTATAAATTGATTTGCATTTTAATGAGGGAAATAAGTAATTCACCCCCTCTCAGTCAGAAAGATTTCTGGCTCCCAGGTGTCTTTTATACAGGTAACGAGCTGAGATTAGGAGCACACTCTTAAAGGGAGTGCTCCTAATCTCAGTTTGTTACCTGTATAAAAAGACACCTGTCCACAGAATCAATCAATCAGATTCCAAACTCTCCACCATGGCCAAGACCAAAGAGCTCTCCAAGGATGTCAGGGACAAGATTGTAGACCTACACAAGGCTGGAATGGGCTACAAGACCATCGCCAAGCAGCTTGGTGAGAAGGTGACAACAGTTGGTGCGATTATTCGCAAATGGAAGAAACACAAAAGGACTGTCAATCTCCCTCGGCCTGGGGCTCCATGCAAGATCTCACCTTGTGGAGTTGCAATGATCATGAGAACGGTGAGGAATCAGCCCAGAACTACACAGGAGGATCTTGTCAATGATCTCAAGGCAGCTGGGACCATAGTCACCAAGAAAACAATTGGTAACACACTACGCCGTGAAGGACTGAAATCCTGCAGCGCCCGCAAGGTCCCCCTGCTCAAGAAAACATATATACAGGGCCGTCTGTAGTTTGCCTATGAACATCTGAATGATTCAGAGGAGAACTGGGTGAAAGTGTTGTGGTCAGATGAGACCAAAATCGAGCTCTTTGGCATCAACTCAACTCGCCGTGTTTGGAGGAGGAGGAATGCTGCCTATGACCCCAAGAACACCATCCCCACCGTCAAACATGGAGGTGGAAACATTATGCTTTGGGGGTGTTTTTCTGCTAAGGGGACAGGACAACTTCACCGCATCAAAGGGAGGATGGACGGGGCCATGTACTGTCAAATCTTGGGTGAGATCTTCCCTCAGCCAGGGCATTGAAAATGGGTCGTGGATGGGTATTCCAGCATGACAATGACCCAAAACACACGGCCAAGGCAACAAAGAAGTGGCACAAGAAGTAGCACATTAAGGTCCTGGAGTGGCCTAGCCAGTCTCCAGACCTTAATCCCATAGAAAATCTGACCTCTGTGATTGCCAACAAGGGTTTTGCCACCAAGTACTAAGTCATGTTTTGCAGAGGGGTCAAATACTTATTTCCCTCATTAAAATGCAAATCAATTTATAACATTTTTGACATGCGTTTTTCTGGATTTGTTTGTTGTTATTCTGTCTCTCACTGTTCAAATAAACCTACCATAAAAATTATAGACTGATCATGTCTTTGTCAGTGGGCAAACGTACAAAATCAGTAGAGAATAAAATACTTTTTTCCCCCTCACTGTAGAAAAACCAGCTAGATATATTATCCATGTCCTTGTTTGTTCAGCCACGACTGACTCCGAGAAACATAGGATATTACAGTTCTTCAGGTCCCGTTGATAGGAGTTAGTCCAATTTGTTCTCCAGTGATTGTATGTTCGCCAATAGAACAGAGGGTAAAGGGGGACTATTGCACGTAGGACTCTCTTACGCCGTCTCTTCCTTTTCCGAGTCTCTGGGATTAGGGCCTGGTCCAGGGTGAGCAGTATGTCCTGTTCCGCCGATTCGTTGAAGTAGAAATCTTCATCCAAATCGAGGTTAGTGATCGCTGTTCTGATGTCCAGAAGCTCTCTTCGGTCATAGGAAACGATTACGGAAACATTATGTACAAAAACGTATGCTCAGCACTTAAAACACAAAACAGCAGAATTGGTCATGATCCTGTAAAATTGCAGCTATCTATTGCAGCGCCATTCTAATCAGGTATTTGTTTAGGGCTCTGGTCAAAAGTAGTGCACTACATAGGGAATAGGGTGCCATTTGGGATGCAGATCATGTCTAAACTCAAGAGAACTCAGTCCTCCTCACTCACCCTTCACGCTGTCATAGTTGGGGTTGTAGAAACAGAATTATCAGTCAACTCTCTGCGCACCACCAGTTCTTCTGTGAAGGAGGAAACTGACTCGGCGGCACTCTTCCCACTGCGCTTGACCTGCAGCACCACGCGCTGGGCAGACAAGTGACCTGGAGAGACGTAGGGAGAAATGGAGAGAGGTAGGGATGGAGAGAGAGAGAGAGAGGTAGGGATGGAGAGAGAGAGAGAGAGAGGTAGGGATGGAGAGAGAGAGTAGGGATGGAGAGAGAGAGGTAGGGATGGAGAGAGAGAGGGCAGGGAGGGAGGGAGAGAGAGGAGGGCAGGGTAGGGAGAGAGGGTAGGGAGAGAGAGAGGAGAGAGGGAGGAGAGAGAGGAGGGAGGGAGGAGAGGAGGGGTAGGAAGGGAGAGAGAGAGAGAGAGAGAGAGAGGGGAGAGAGAGAGAGGGAGAGAGAGAGGTAGGGAGGGCGAGAGGTAGGGAGAGAGAGAGAGAGAGAGAGGGAGAGCAGGAGGGGGAGGAGGAGAGACAGCCAGTGGAGGAAAACATGACATAGAAAAATTATTTACCCCAAAGTCCACCTTGAGCTTCAGAAATAAGTTTGAGAAACATTTGCATACATATAACATTGGATACGAGCAGGAGTGCAAAGCCTGTGTTTCTTTTTGGTGGGCTGCAGTCTAACACTGCGTGGGTGGGAGTGGGACTTCACACAGTGAGTGCTAGGTGTGTAAGGTCATAGGGTGTGTTTGTAGGCTGGCATTAGGTGAACACTAGGTTTTGAGTTGGCATGTTGAATTTCATAAAACATTTAGAAAGGGGAGAGCTGACAGGTGTGTATTGCAGGGTCATAGGGTGTGTGTTTACAGGCTGAAATAACACTAGAGTTTGTGTTGACAGAAATTCCAATAAGTTGCTTCCTCAACTGACCGAAGCGGATCCACGGCGAGAGCTGACTAACAGCAGAAGAATTGGGGTTGTTCCTCTGAGTGGCAAAGTTCTTGAGGCGCAGGTCGATGAAAGACTCCAACATGGCTATGCCTGCTGCAGTGCCAGATTTGGCCCAATCCACCTCCTCTACCGTCCTGTCCACCTCCAGAGAGGACAATACCTCTGCCCAGTCTACTGGCTGGGAGAAGAGAGCTTGATTTTATTCAATGAAAAGGTTGTGGAAAGATAAATATCCATGAGTGGTTGTGGGTAGGCCTACACCAAGACAGGAGGAAATATGATGGGAAAGAAATGAGGAAGAACTTATGTCCCCTCTAAAAACAACATCAAACTTACTTCCACTTTGGTGTTTCAGGTCTGGAGGGACTTGATAGGTGTAAGCAATACAGCAGAAGCTCCATTGGAAGGCTTTGCAAAGTCATCACCCTATTGCTTACACCTGTCCTGTGCATTCTGGGGGCTATGGGTTGTTTTCTGATCAGGCAAGATATTACCCAACCCAGAGAGAGTTTAGTGGATTGTCTCTATACAAATACCATTTATACCCACCTTCTATAAACAACCTCTTACCTTGGCGGTTCGGACAGCAGGGTGCGGATGTTTGTCCACTAAAGGCATCTCTGTGAGGAACTCGGGCAGAAGCTTGGTGATCTTGGTACGGATCGTCCTGGCAGCATACTCCAGCTTGTCTGATGCCACCCAGCAGGGCACCACGTTATGGGCATCCACCTGCGGTAGTGATGGGAAGACGTGATGGGTGACAGACTTGAAATCCTTTGTAAACAAAGCCTGAGAAATTGAAGAAAGCTAAACAGGAATTCAATAGGTGTTCAGTGTTGGTATGGCAGAGTGAGTTCCATCCCTGTCTACCCAATCCGGGACACGAACCTTCTGACACAAATCTTTTGCACAATGATATTCAAGAAGCACCGTCTCTCAATGACACTGACCCAGAAAAAGAAATGCATTTCTGGGTCTAGGTGCGACTTTCACCCAACTTTTACCGCATAATGATTCAATCAAGCCACAACAAACTGTCTGCGCATTTTCGTGATAAATTGGACAAAAATCATTGCAAATTGCCATGCAAAATGTCAGAATTGCAGCAGCAAAATAAAGCATTTTTGCTCGCAACTATCACAAAACAAAACCGCTGCGAAATCCTGAAGGGACTGATCTGCATACTTGTATGAAGGGGATATCCGATGGAAGAGCATTTTTGACCTCCTCCACCCACTGCAGCGGCGTCCTTAGAGGGGAGAAGTCGGTCACCACTGCCCCCAAAATCCAGTCCCGCACAAAACCCGGCAGCAGTTCTCCAGCGGAGCCCTGGAGCAGGTGGAACTGAATATCCAGCGCACTGCAGTCCTGTGAAAATGGGGACAGATAAGCGCGTGGGACAAGCAGGAAGCAGGTATAGAGGAGAATCTCAATTGGATTTCCTCGATTCCTCTCGCCCCCTTGCGTCCACTCGATGAGGAGGAGAGGAAACGTGGAAATGCGCTTGTAAGAAATGAGACTGTCCTCCTCTATCGCTCCATCAGGCAAATTACATTTACAGAGGTGGAATCTCAAAATTAATGTGTAAAAGTGGTTAAAAAAATTACTGTTAACAGTTCTGCTAGACATTTTATAGATTAAAGGATAGGGTAAACCTCCCTATTAAGCCCACCAAATCCACTTTTCAGACATTTTTTATACATACTGCCCCAATTTAAGTGAGAACATTTTAGTTAAAATGAAAGTATAATCTCTCATTTGAAGTGTCAATATTTCATTTATACCAATTTCTAAATGTTTTTACTGTTTAATTTGTCAAAATATGTTGAAAGTCTGGCATGGGCTTAATGGGTACCTAATGTAACCTTTAAGCCCATGGGTGTTGCAAATAAGCCCACTTCAGATTTGTTGATAAATAAATATATATATTTAAAAAATCTTAACAATACAAACTTCTTCTATTCAAATCTGTAATATCTTAGCTCTCAATAGCTATTTTCCTTTTGTCTCCACTCCTATCCTATGGCCTGTAAATGGCTTTTGAAATAGGCGTGACCAGCCTTTTTGCTGTGTTGTCAACGCAGAAAAAGCTAAACTTACAACATGTCTTCTTTGGAATGTAGCTAAAAACCTATTTATGAAAGAAATCAAAACTATAGTGGAAATTACTCTTCAATACTTCATCTTTCAATATGTGTTGTCATTTAGTCTGCATCTCTATCCGATGGTGTGCTGTTGGCATTTGAAATTGGCCAAAATGTCAGATGTTTTTATGAAGATTTCTGAAGACCGACTGACTAAAAGAAAAACAGTTTGCAGGTTCAATACTAATGTCCTAAGGATAGTAAATGAGTCAATTTCAGGATTTACATTTAAACAATAACTTTAACTGATTTTCAAATGTTAAATCACATTTAGGCTAGTAGTTTGAAAACATTGTAAAAACACATTTTAAAACCATTCAGTACATTGTGGAGTAACATTACAACATACAGTTCATTGTGAGGAGACATCAGTCATAACATCTGGAAGCTCATGTATCATTAGCCTATAACTTAAGCAAAATAAACAAGAAACATTTCTGCAATTTCTACTTTCTCCTAGGCTAAACGTAGGCCTATGCTCTTTGATGTGATTTTATCGTTATTTTAGAGTAACATAACAGGTTATAGGGTGGTCTAAGCTTTATTTTGTTTGTTTGTTTCAATCTTTTGCCCACATGGTGGTTCTTTGCTTGCCAGTCTTACGCTAACAAGTCTTTGAAGGCTTTCATCTTGTTTTTGTACAGATTTTCAATGACCTCATGATTGCGCAAATAGAATGGTCCAGGTCCCTCCAGCTCTGCTTTGCAGAGGATGAACTGGAGCTCTACATCCTCAATCTTGTCCCTGGATGGGAGGAAGAATGTGTTGTTTGGCCCTCTGTCTAGGAACTTCATCACATACCGTTCACCCTCGGGTACTGACTCGTTAAGTGATGGTGCGATGTAATATGCCGCTGGTTTGGTGAACATGACAGCATAGTACACGTCCCTCTCCACTGGGAAGGTTGTGGTACAGGTTTCTGTATTCTCATTTTCCTCTTTGCTCACTGCCTCGTTGCCTCCGATGCGTTTGCCTTCTCCAGAGGAGCCTTCTTGCTCTTGCCATCCTTAGGTTGTTTATTTTTTGCTGCCTTCTTTTTTCCACTTTCCCCTAGCCGCAACAAGGCTTGTTCAGATGTTAGAGACGCTCCATATTTTAGAGTGTTGATTCTGTCTTTTGGCAGGATTGCTCTTCTTGGTTGACATGATGCGTTGCAGGAAGACATCTTTGATGCCAATGCCTGATGAGGGTGAAGGGCTTGAAGTTGCAGAGGATGCAGACGTTGATGGCTGGGGTTGTGACATTTCATCATTTGCAAGCATTGCAATCCTCAATATTGGTGATGTTGAGAATGTTGTACCCAGCAAGAGTTTCTACACTGAGGATAATCTGGGACATGGATTCTTCGCCCACAGATGTTGCGCATGGGCGTGGTTGTGCAGGTGGAGATATAGAGGTGGCACGGGGTCCCACTGGAAAGTTTAGTGCTGTTTTCCTGGCTCGGCGAGGTTGTGCAGGTGGAGACAGAGCGATCACATGGGGTCCCAGAGGAGTATCGTTGCTTGTCATAGTTTCTGCCAGAGAAGAAACAAAATGTATTGTTATTGTTAGGATAGAATATAGGCCTATCCAGAATGAATTGACCTATGCAATATGACAGATATTTAAATATGGATATGAATAATCTGAATTATGGAGCTGATTTATCAGGTGAGGTCAAAATTAGGGAGGAAAATGGTTAAAAGGTCAAAAGGAAGAAAATCCCCATTGAAACACAGTCAAGTGGGCTTAATGGAAGCAGGTGGGCTTAATGGGAACATCAGTGAATTTATGGTTAAAAAACAGAATATTTTATTCTACGCACATGACATTAAAAAAACAACTATATGAAATAACCCTATATATGGTGCACTAACATAACATGAAAAGTATACATTTATAATGCAGAGAAGTAATTAGCTACACTCATTTACATCCACCCCAGACAGTGTGATATTTTTCCTAGCGTCCCCTTTAAGCCCACCAGGTAAAAATGTTAATAATTTTTTTTATAAAAGATAGACATACACTTTTAGTCTATTTAACAGTATAATAATATAAACTGCATACAAAAATGTTAACTATACCTGCTTATCATGCTTTATGTCATTGCAATGAACCATCCTATGCAGCTACTGTACTGATGCAGCATGTGGTCTGTTTGCTAGCATGCTAAAACTCATATTTTGATTTAAAAAGAAACAATATTTATAATTCAAGTAATATTCTAACATATGTCTTATTCAAAACACTAATCACTTAAATGAGTACTTACCAAAAACAGGAGTAGAAATATGCAAAACATGTTGTTATCTTCTGAGGGTACCAAAATCACCAACGTTTTTTTGCAACTTCTTCTAGGATCAGCAGGCATTTACATTTACATTTTACATTTTAGTCATTTAGCAGACGCTCTTATCCAGAGCGACTTACAGTTAGTGAATACATCTTTTTTTTTATACTGGCCCCCCCTGGGAATCGAACCCACAACCCTGGCGTTGCAAACGCCATGCTCTATCAACTGAGCTACATCCCTGCCGGCCATTCCCTCCCCTACCCTGGACGACGCTGGGCCAATTGTGCGCCGCCCATGAGTCTCCCGGTCGCGGCCGGCTGCGACAGAGCCTGGATTCGAACCAGGATCTCTAGTGGCACAGTTTGCACTGCGATGCAGTGCCTTAGACCACTGCGCCACTCAGGAGATCTACACACATATGCTTTGATAACTCAATATTGACAAATCTTACTGGCTTACAATAATAAGTGACATTTACGTAACAAGCAGCTTAATTGGAAGAAACGTCACACAGCAAAAAATGCTGATGTATTTTTATTTTACTCAGAAGTTGCAAGTGGGCTTATATGGTACGTGGGCTTAATAGGGACGTTTACCCTAAGTAGTGTATCGTTTTTAAATGCCTGCATGCTTTTCTCATCCGAGAAAATACAGCTGTTTCGAAGGGGGTGTGGCGCATTTCAAAACTCTTCCGAGGTAGGATACACCTGAGCATCCTACACTGGAGGCGGCAACCGAGGAGAGGAGCAAACTCCTCCCTTCACCTATTAACGAACTGACACTCTCCTACATATGGCAACCACGTATAGGTTTCCGGGTCACGGAAGAGAGGAGGATGGAGTTGAGGAGAGGACAGAATTTTTGGCCAATTGAGAATCTCCCTCGTCGACTGATTGGGCCATAAACAAGTGTAAGAACTGTGGAGGATGCCAAGCCGACGACCCAGATGTCATATCCTCACATACATTTGGTTACAATCATAACATGAGTAACCTGCTTAATTGCTAACTTAAAAAGGTCTGAAGTCCACTTGCATCAGATCACACAGGACACAGAATTCTCAGAGGCCTCATGAACTCGTGAGACAGAGTGTAACGATCGTAGGGGGGAATGTAGGAGGAGGCCAGGGCCACCCGGGCCGGATATCAAGACAAAAAACCGCACACTAGAAAAGACAAGCACCCGACCTTGACTTTGGTTCAATGTATTTTTTTATTTCCTGTGAATCAACAAACAGATTTGCATACAAATTCTTCAGGTTTGTGTTCGTTGATTCACTATAAATGTAAAATGAATAGAACTTAAGTCAAGGTCGGTCGCCTGTCTTTTCTAGTGTGGTTTTTACACTTGTTTTAGGATACTAGTTGTTTTGGCACTGATTGGCCCAATCAGTTATTGCACTGGTTGGGCCATCTCCATCTCATAGTCTCTCTAAGTTCTGGTTGGGTAAACAGTTTGAGCCCGTCCCTAGATGCAGATTGTCGTTTTTCATCATGAACCTTGTTCTGGAGGAAGCTCTGCAGTGGTCACTAGCTGGCACAGCCAAAGTCCATAAAATCTGATTTTAAACCTAACCACACTGCTAACCCTAATGCCTCACACACAAGTCATTTTCACCCCATACAAAGATGGGGGGGGGGGGGGGAGTCTCTCTACCTTAGCAACTTCCTCCAGTCCCCTCAGCATGAAGCCAAAATGGCGGATGGTGGCCAACTCAGAGTCTTGTGGTATCACCAAACAGACACAGATGTGCAGGGGCAGCTTCTCTTCGAGGGCAAGCTGCTGGGCATGGATCAACGCCCAGTTATCTACAGTAAGAGTCAAAGAGAGAAGCAAACAATCTGTTACTGGTGAATATGACTGCAAATACTGAAAATAATCCCCAAAAACCTTTCACACTACAATGCCAATCCAAACTATACTGTACTGGCTTGAATAGTTTATTTTCCCATTGTCCTTTTCCCATTGTCCAAGCAACTATGGTGGATGGATAACCAGGCCAGAACAGCACAGTTAGCCTTTGCACACTGCTGAGCCTATAGCTACATTCAATGCACTTTCTATCGGCCATCGTGTTATTGGTAGTATATATACTGGAGATTTTGTCACCTTGGACCCTGTGATCCCGGTTCATCCAGTAGACTACTCCCTCTGAACCTTGCTTTATCTTCTGGGTTTGGGACAGAAAACGGAGGCGCTTCTTGTTGAATTTCAAGTCCTGTTTCTCCTTCCGTTGCTCAGCCACCACACCCTGCAGCCAACCTTTTTCTCTCTCCCTCTCACCCTCTTTTACAGCCTGCAGCTTCTGCTGTTTGGCGTTGTCCATTTTGGCAAAGGTCGCCTTGCGTTTTTTTGCTGGCATTGTGGTTCGATTATTAATGCTGCTTAGGCCTACTAATTTGGTCAAGGAGGAGTAGTAGCAGTGTCTTTGGCTCTCGAGTGTCACAAACTTCCAAATGTGCTTGGATGCTGGAATGAGCAACAAACTGGATAGAGGGAGGCATTGGAGGTCAATTACTAAATAAATATCACTCAGTTCAACAATCATACTTTTTCATCTTCAATACATTTCTGATAATACAAGCAACATAAAACAGGATGTTATCATGCAGACCAAGGCACAATTTGAAGTCAGCGATGAAATAATTCAATGACAATCGCAAGAAATGACTTACCTGCGATGCATACAGGTTATTGTGAACGTTTATCTCACAGTTAAAATCCTGTTAAACTGAGGGTTTCTTGATATGTATCCATTCAAACAACAGCAGAAACGTACACACATACAAGCGTGTTGTTTTCTTTTTGTTTCGTAAGAGCAGACTACGCATGCCATTAGTGTCTCTAGTGCGCGTGCGTAAAGGCGTCCCTAGTTACCACAGCCACAAAGTCATAAACCCCGCCCATTTATACAATTTATCTTCTTAAAATCTGATTTTAAACCAACCTTAACCACACTGCTAACATTATGCCTAACCCTAAATTAAAATAAAAAATTTACGAAATAGCCTATTTTGACTTTGTGGCTGTTGTAACTAGTGACAACAGTTTTGACAGGGGGGTATTTTTTTGACGTAGCTAGATATCTAGCCTGGCTTGCTAAAGTTTGGAGTTGAGGCGCAGTTTGTAATTTTTATTCAGAAAATGATCCTGTGTGTAGTTACAGATTTCCACAGTATGAGCAACGTTCGGTTTTCGGCTACACGGGGGAGCACTTCAGGCGGACCTGATAAGGTCGACATGTCTTTAGGGAAAGCTGCTCGCGACACTGTTTTGATGTGGTTGGGTCACCAGAAGCTCGAGCTTGGTTGTTGTAGCTAGCTTGCCATTTTGCTAAATGTTCGCACGTAAGGGATCATAATATACATCGCTATATAGCTAACTACATGTATTTATTTTAGATACATTACACTGTCTATTTGAAACTCAAAAAGACCTTACTACTTAACTACTACTCTTGGCAACTTTGTATGTTAACCGCGTTCATTCAATGCGACCAAGCAAGCTAGCCACTACTAGTCAGCTAACGAACAACAAGCATAACTTGTTGTAATGCAGGTCTATTGTATTGGCCCATCCAAACGTCAGCGAGAGTGATGAATGTAGTTAGTTAGTTAATGTACATATTCAGCCAAGACTTCCAAGAGCCAGACAAACTTGCATTCATAAGCATGGCATACATACATTGACTGAAAAATAGCTCACTGACAAGTCAACTTATTGTTTTGTTCATCTGACTATCCTAGATGATATCATTCGTTTGAACAAGAAAGAGCAACAAGCAAAGAGGCAGGGCCTGGGGAACAGCAGGCCACTACAGAAGGGGAAGGGCTTTGTCCAAGGGAGCTAGGACCAGGGGACAGACCCAAAGAGATGTGTACAGTAGCTTTGTTTGTGGTGCTCATCACTGCAGCTGGTTCTCTATTGTTGAATAGCTTCATATAATCATGCCTGGGATATTTGAAATGGCCAGACATTCTTAGCTCCACTTAAAATGCCAATGAACTATTCTCCACATGAATAAGAAGCTGTGTCATTTCCAGGAGGTGGTGTACCAAGAGGGGGGATAATGAAAGCGGGTGTTGGAAGAGCCCGGAAGATTCCCCCTCTGGTTGGTCGACGCTGGGGTCAAGGGGTCATCACTGGACTGGCAGCCCGGAAGACTGCAGCGCTACAGAAAGGCATCAGTCCGCTGAACCGACTTGCTATCAACCAGGTACTAAGGGCTCATACATCTGGGACATTTTCATTAGGGCACGCTGTAGCAAAACGTGCATCAGAAAACCAAAATGAGCATCCCTGAGTTTAGATAATACCTCACTGTTTCACTCACTTTCTAACTGTTTTCCTCTGTTTCATGCCTAGTTAACATGACCCTTGTTAGGATCAAAGAGGAGAGAGTTAGTTTTCAAAGAAGACCTTGCTCCTCTGTTCACTATCTCTATTTACATTTTCTCTCTCAGAAGTTACGCCCCTTCAACAACCAATCGGGGCCCTTCAACAACCAATCACTGCCTTTTATCCAACCAGCACAATACAGACAGACGCAAGGCCAGAAGAGGGCGTACAGACAGACAGACGTACAGAGAGGCGCCAACTCGACGAGACCCTTTCAGCTGCGGAGACTGTGAGGAAATAACATTTGGAGCATTTACTCCTGGATGACTACCAGGAACCTACCAGGTACAACCCTAAATCCGTAAACATGGGTACCCTCATAGATATCATCCTGACTAACTTACCCTCTAAATACACCTCCGCTGTCTTCAACCAGGATCTCAGCGATCACTGTCTTATTGCCTGCGTCCGTAACGGGTCCGCGGTCAAACGACCACCCCTCATCACTGTCAAACGCTCCCTAAAACACTTTAGCGAGCAGGCCTTCCTAATTGACCTGGCCCAGGTATCCTGGATGGATATAGATCTCATTCCGTCAGTAGAGGATGCCTGGTTGTTCTTTAAAAGTAATTTCCTCTCAATCTTAAATAAACATGCCCCATTCAAAAAATACAGAACTAAGAACAGATATAGCCCCTGGTTCTCCTCAGACTTGACCGCCCTTGACCAGCACAAAAACATCCTGTGGTGTACTGCATTAGCATCAAATAGCCCCCGCGATATGCAACTTTTCAGGGAAGTTAGGAACCAATATACACAAGCAGTCAGGAAAGCAAAGGCTAACTCGAGAATTTCAACAAGCATTTTGCTACGGCTGGCCATGCTTTCCACCTGGCTACCACTACCCCGGCCACCAACTCTGCACCCTCCGCTGCAACTTGTCTGGACCTATGGCAGTCTCTATGGGGGTGCCACAGGGTTCAATTCTTGGGCCGACTCTTCTCCGTGTATATCAATGATGTCGCTCTTGCTGCTGGTGACTCTCAGATCCACCTCTACGCAGACGACACCATTTTGTATACATCTGGCCCTTCATTGGACACTGTGTTAACAAACCTCCAAACGAGCTTCAATGCCATACAACACTCCTTCAGTAGCCTCCAACTGCTCTTAAACACTAGTAAAACTAAATGCGTGCTCTTCAATCGAACGCTGCTGGCACCCGCCCACCCGACTAGAATCACTACTCTCGACGGGTCTGACCTAGAGTATGTGGACAACTACAAATACCTAGGTGTCTGGTTAGACTGTAAACTCTCCTTCCAGACTCACATTAAGAATCTCCAATCCAAAGTAAAATCTAGAATCGGCTTCCTATTTCGCAACAAAGCCTCCTTCACTCATGCTGCCAAACATGCCCTCGTAAAACTGACTATCCTACCGATCTTTGACTTCGGTGATGTGATTTACAAAATAGCCTCCAACACTCTACTCAGCAAATTGGATGTAGTCTATCACAGTGCCATCCGTTTTGTCTCCAAAGCCCCATACACTACCCACCACTGTGACCTGTACGCTCTTGTTGGCTGGTCCTCACTACATGTTCGTCGTCAAACCCACTGGCTCCAGGCCATCTATAAATCACTGCTAGGCAAATCCCCGCCTTATCTTAGCTCATTGGTCACCATAGCAGCACCCACCCGTAGTCTGCGCTCCAGCAGGTATATCTCATTGGTCATCCCCAAAGCCAACACCTCCTTTGGCCGCCATTCCTTCCAGTTCTCTGCTGCCAATGACTGGAACGAATTGCAAAAATCTCTGAAGCTGGAGACTCTTAGCTCCCTCACTAACTTTAAGCATCAGTTGTCAGAGCACCTTACCGATCACTGCAACTGTACACAGCCCATCTGAAATTAGCCCACCCAACTACCTCATCCCTATATTGTTATTTATTTTGCACCCCAGTATCTCTATTTGCACATAATCTCTTGCACATCTAGCATTCCAGTGTTAATTCTAATTGTAATTATTTTGCACTATAGCCTATTTATTGCCTTACCTCCATAACTTGCTACATTTGCACACACTGTATATATACAGTGGCCAATTTCAAATGCCAGGAGTGGCTTCGTAAGAAGCATTTCAAGGTCCTGGAGTGGCCTAGCCAGTCTCCAGATCTCAACCCCATAGAAAATCTTTGGAGGGAGTTGAAAGTCTGTGTTGCCCAGCGACAGCCCCAAAACATCACTGCTCTAGAGGAGATCTGCATGGAGGAATGGGCCAAAATACCAGCAACAGTGTGTGAAAACCTTGTGAAGACTTACAGAAAACGTTTGACCTGTGTCATTGCCAAGAAAGGGTATATAACAAAGTATTGAGAAACTTTTGTTATTGACCAAATACTTATTTTCCACCATAATTAGCAAATAAATTCATTAAAAATCCTGGATTTTCTTTTCTCAATTTGTCTGTCATAGTTGACGTGTACCTATGATGAAAATTACAGGCCTCTCTCATCTTTTTAAGTGGGAGAACTTGCACAATTGGTGGCTGACTAAATACTTTTTTTCCCCACTGTATTTTCTGTTGTATTTTTTTGACTTTATGTTTTTTTACCCCATATGTAACTCTGTGTTGTTGTTTTTATCGCACTGCTTTGCTTTATCTTGGCCAGGTCGCAGTTGTAAATGAGAACTTGTTCTCAACTGGCTTACCTGGTTAAATAAAGGTGAAATAAATTTAAAAAATGACTCACCTCCATGGAATATCACCACGTCACACTGTCAGCTGGTCCCAATTCGCTATCTACCCCTTCTTCCCTTTGGCCCTAACCCTTGAATGTTTGCAGATATATATGGTTTAAAGGGCCAATCAGCACTCAATTTGTTTGGATAGCAGTGAGGATTGTGATTTTTCTCAAGTACATCTGATATATATTTGAAACAATAACAAAGTGTCCTCCCTGCCACTGTTATTGGTAAACGGATGAGGGATTGGGCTGAAATGTAACCACTCTAAAATTAATACAGCTATGGATGCAAGGACTGACCATCTATGATATCAGAAGTATAGTTTGAACCATGTGTTGAGGCTATACAGTGTTTGTTTACATTTACTTTGTTTACAAAGATTGGAGTAAAACAAGCTTATATTTTGGGCTCTGATGTGGTACGACAGTTGAACTAAAGCTCATGAGGCTGATGTTCTTCAAGAATCAATGGGTAAATATAATTCATTTACAAGTCCAAAAAGGGATGTAGCAACTGCAGATTGCAGAGTGCATGGAAAGTCCTGTCTTTGTCTCACCTGTACATTCTTCCATACCGCAGGTTCAGAAGCCGCCTTTAACCTCTACACCTCCTGCCCCAGTTAGAACTCACCAGTGAGTATTTGACCTGTGTGTGGGTGTGGAAGGTTGTGAACACATTCTGACTGTGGCCTCTTGACAGACCACATTCCACTGTATAATATAGAGCACCCTCATCATTCTTGAAGACTATACACATCGAACCTTTGCTCGTCATTATCCACAAGTTGTCTAACCATATGTGTGTCTGTCTGTCCACCAGGTGGCGCACGTCAACAAACAGCAGTGGGATCCTGACCGTTTCCATCGACAACCCCACTGCCATGACACTGCCTGAGTGAGTCACATTATGAAGCCACACATACCACTATATGAACAGAGGCTGATTGAATACATAGGGCCAGTAGTTACCATACCATAGAACCTGATCATAACTAAGGACCAGAGTTGTTCCTGGTCAGTTCAAGTGGTATGAGGGTGGCAGGTAGTTAAGAGCGTTGGACCATTAACTGAAAGGTAGTTGGTTCAAATCCCCGAGCTGACTAGGTGAAAAATCTGTATGTGCCATTGAGCAAAGCACTTAACCTTAATTGCTCCTGAAAGTCGCTCTGGGTAAGAGCGTCAGCTAAATGACGACAACATTTAAATACTCCTGGCCCTATATATACACAGTTGCGACCAAATATATTGGCACACTTGGACTTTTCTTACATAATTCCTTGTTTCTTCTAAAATAAGTTGAATTTGAAAAAATAAAATTGGTCTCCACACCTTGTTATTGGATTTTCGACATTGCGGAACCAATTTTATTTTTGTAAACTTAAGTTTACCATTTTAATTTAGAAAATAAAGACATGGCATGGACACAATTATTGGCACCCCGTGAGCTAGTACTTGGTTGCACAGCCTTTGGCCAAGATACACTATATATACAAAAGTATGTGAACACCCCTTCAAATGAGTGAATTCGGCTATTTCAGCCACACCCGTTGCTGATAGGTGTATAAAATCAAGCACACCGCCATGCAATCTCCATAGACAAACATTGGCAGTAGAATGGCCTTACTGAAGAGCTCAGTGACTTTCAGCGTGGCACTGTCATAGTATGGTCAGTTCGTCAAATTTATGCCCTGCTAGAGCTGCCCCGGTCAACTGTAAGTGTTGTTATTGTGAAGTGGAAACATCTAGGAGCAACAGTGACTCAGCCGCGAAGTGGTAGGCCACACAAGCTCACAGAACGGGACCTCCGAGTGTTGAAGCGTGTAGCGCAAAAACATTGTCTGTCCTCGGTTGCAACACTCACTACCGAGTTCCAAACTTCCTCTGGAAGCAACGTCAGCACAAGAAGTGTTCGTCGGGAGTTTCATGAAATGGGTTCCCATGGCTGAGCAGCCGCACACAAGCCTAAGATCACCACGCGCAATGCCAAGCAACGGCTGGAGTGGTGTAAAGCTTGCCGCCATTGGATTCTGGAGCAGTGGAAACTCGTTCTCTGGAGTGATGAATCACGCTTTACCATCTGGCAGTCCAACGGACAAATCTGGGTTTGGCGGATGCCAGGAGAACGCTACCTGCCCCAATGCATAGTACCAACTGTAAAGTTTGGTGGAGGAGGAATAATGGTCTGGGACTGTTTTTCATGGTTAGGGCTAGGCCCCTTAGTTCCAGTGGCTGAATGGAAGCAAGTCCCCGCAGCAATGTTCCAACATCTAGTGGAACATTTTTGGACAGTGGATTGAACATTGCACTCCAAAACACCATGATAATCAGCTGTTTTCATGATGATCTTGCACACATTGAAGGCCCCCAGTACCAGAGGCAGCAAAGCAACCCCACAGTATTATCAAACCTCTCCCATGTTTTGATTGTAGGCAGGGTGTTCTTTTCTTTAAATTCTTAATTTTGTTGTCAGTCAACACAGTGCTGATCTGCATTGCCAAAGCACTATCATTTTGTTTCATTGGTCTACAGAACATTTCCCCCAGGATTTAGGCTTGTTAGGTGTGTCTTTGAGAAGTTCAATCAGGCTTTCTTGTCTCTTTCAGTAGTGAGGTCTTCCTATGTTTACCAACAATCAAATTAAGCAGGGTTGCTTTGCTGCCTCTGGTACTGGGAGGCCTTGAATGTGTGCAAGACATCATGAAAACAGCAGATTATCATGGTGTTTTGTAGTGCACTGTTCAACCCACTGTCCAAAAACTGCATCTGTTGAAGGTTGTGGAACTTCCAGCAGGAAAACAATCCCAAACAAACGTCAAAAGCACCCTGGAATGGTTCAAGAAGAAAAGCTGGACTGTTCTGGAGGGGCCAGTGAAGAGTTCTGATCTGAATCACATCCATAACCTATGGCAAGCGCTGACAACTGCAGTTGGTGGAGGGCACTCCTCAAACATTATTAGAGCAGTTTGCTGCTGAAAAGTTAGCCAAATTGCCAGTAGGAAGGTGCAGCAAGCTCATTAATGGCTACAAGAAGCGTTTGTCTGCCGTTCTTGTCCAAAGGCTGTGCTACCAAGTACTAGCTCCGGGGTGCCAATAATTGTGTCCATTTGTCTTTTATTTTCTAAACTTATATTTACAAAAATACAATTGGTTCTGCAATTTAGAAAATCAAATAACAAGGTTCGGGGAACAAACATTATTTTCCAATGTCAACATATTTTAGAATATATAGGGAATTATTTAAGAAAAGTGCATGAGTGCCAATATATCTTCAGCAACTGTACATAACCACTCGCCATATTTTGTTCTCTGTTCCCCCAGGCCACCCTGTGCTTGGCCCCTGCACCCCCCGGCCCCCACCAGCTCTGCCCCAGTCAAGATGGAGGTAGAAGAGGAGAAGAAATCGGAACCGCCTAAAGGAGTCCCCTTGCAGTTTGACATCAACAGCGTGGGGAAACCGGTGAGAATAAGATACAAACTGATATTTTGACACATTTTTGGCAAAAGAGCTGATCTGATTAGGTAAAAGATCAGAATTAGGCTGCCTGTGTAAACGTACCCCAAGTTGTTTCTGATCTTGTCCTCATGAGCCTCAGTGTACAAAAACATTAGCAACACCTGCTCTTTCTATGACAGACTGACCAGGTGACAGCGATGATCCCTTATTGATGTCACCTGTTAAATCCACTTCAATCAGTATAGATGAAGGGGAGGAGACAGGTTAGAGAAGGAATTTTAAGCCTTGAGACATAGATTGTGTATGTGTGCCATTCAGAGGGTGAATGGGCAAGACAAAAGATTTAAGTGCATTTTGAATGGGGTATGGTAGTAGGTGCCAGGCGCACTGGTTTGTGTCAAGAACTGCAACGCTGCTGGGTTTTTAATGCTCAACAGTTTCCCATGTGTATCAAGAATGGTCCACCACCCAAAGGAAATCCAGCCAACTTGACACAACTGTGGGAAGCATTGGAGTCAATATGGGCCAGCATCCCTGTGGAACGCTTTCGACATCTTGTGGAGTCCATGCCCCAACAAATTGAGGCCGTTCTGAGGACAAAAGTGGGTGCAACTCAATATTAGGAAGGTGTTCCTAATGTTTTGGACACTCCGTGTAAATGTTAGGAATGGTTGTTTGAAGTACCGTATTTTCTGCACTATAAGGCGCACTTAAAAGCCTTTAATTTTCTCAAAAAACGACAGTGCGCCTTATAATCCGGAGCGCCTTATATATGGATCAATTGGTTAATTGGTTGATCCATACTGGTTGTACACGGCGCTCAAGGCGCTCTGTCAAAATGTTTCAGTATGAAAAACCAATAAAAACAATTTAATAATAATGAAATGTTTCAGTACGACTTTGATATTCCCGTGAACCGCACTGTGGAGAAAACGGGGACCAGTACGGTGTCTGTACTCACCACAGGGAATGAGAAGTCATCCTTCACTGTAGTTCTCGCCTGCCAGGCTAATGGCCAGAAACTTCCACCCATGGTTATTTTCAAGAGGAAGACCTTGCCAAAAGAAAACTTTCCAGCCGGCGTCGTCATCAAAGCTAGCCCGAAGGGATGGATAGATGAGGAAAAGATGAGTGAGTGGCTGAGAGAAATTTACGTCAAGAGACCGGGTGGCTTTTTCCACACAGCTCCGTCCCTATTGATCTACGACTCCATGCACGCCCATATCACCGATGCTGTCAAAAAACAAGTGAAGCAAACTAATTCGGAGCTTGCCGTCATTCCGGGTGGATTAACTAAAGAACTCCAGCCACTAGATATTGGTGTCAACAGGGCGTTCAAAGCTAGACTGCGAGCTGCGTGGGAGCAGTGGATGACAGAAGGCGAACACACGTTCACCAAGACGGGGAGACAGCGCCGGGCGACTTACGCCACTATCTGCCAATGGATCGTGGATGCCTGGGCTGATATATCAGTCTCAACTGTGGTCCAAGCTTTCACGAAGGCAGGAATAATCTCTGAACTGCCAGGCAACAGCAGCGACACTGACTCGGATAATGACGAGAGGGAGCCGGGCAGGTTGGATGCCGTAGTCGCCCAACTGTTCAATTCGGACACTGAAGAAGAAGAATTTGAGGGATTCGTGGACGGGAATGAACTGAAAAGTTAGCTTTACGTTTGATTTAGTGGTATCAGACTGTTTCTTTTTACTACGTGTTTACTGAATCAGGGAAAAGTTCCCCTCCACATTTGGGAGAAGAGTGAGCAAGGCTGGGAGATATTGTTAATATGCACATTAACGTTTGAACAATGTTACCATGGGAGTGAACGGAGTTGTCAGAACGCTTAATAAAGTTTGACTTTATTTTGTTGACATTCCCTTTAGCACAGCTCCATCTAGTGGATGCATAACGCAACCCCAGTCAAACGTTTGACTGCAGTATCTTCTATTCTATGCGCCTTATAATCCGGTGCGCCCTATATATGAAAACAGTTCTAAAATAGGCCATTCATTGAAGGTGCGCCTTAGAATCCGGTGCGCCTTATAGTGCGGAAAATACTCCCCCTAGTGGTTCAAAATCTAAGTTTCCCCCCTGTGAATTGGTGAATAGTGTCATGTTCATTAGGGCACGCTGTAGCAAAAAGGTTTCAAAAACGTCCAAAATTAACATAAACGTAGTGAACAAATTCAGATCGTGCCTCCCTGCTTCGGTCAGTTTGCTTCCATTTCGTTTCTAGCACAATTGGCCCAGCGTCGTCCAGGGTAGGGGAGGGAATGGCCGGCAGGGATGTAGCTCAGTTGGTAGAGCATGGCGTTTGCAATGCCAGGCTTGTGGGTTTGATTCCCATGGGGGGCCAGTATGAAAAATTAAAATATAATGTATGCACTCACTTAACTGTAAGTCGCTCTGGATAAGAGCATCTGCTAAATGACTAAAATGTAAAATGTAGTGAACTGGACCCAGTTATACTGTATGTACACCATTATATGTAAATATATATTTATATTCTGGTCTCTGACATTGTTCGTTTTGATATTTCTTTATTTTTCTGAATGGTGTATTTTTTTATTATTATTATTGCTAGGTATTACTGCCCTGTTGAAGCTAGACACACGCATTTCGCTGCACCTGCGATAACATCTGTGCACGCGACCAATGCATCTTTATTTTGTGTGAAGTGAATTGGATGTTTTTCTGACAAGCGTTCTCTCTCCCAACTGTTGTCACAGCAGACTGCGATGACTTTGAATGAGCGATTCCGCATCCTGAAAGACGAGCGCGTCACCACTGCGCAGACCAGCAAAGGCAGCCGATTCGTCACTGTGGGTTAAGACAATGATATGAAGGCTAGAAGAGAAGGGGGAATCCCCAAAACCCTTTGTGTCCCAGACAGACACGCACACTGACCCCCACCTATCTGATGAGATTGAACCGTTTAAAAGGCTCATGAGCTGATCGGAAGCTGATCCTCCTGAGTGACGTTCCCTATGGAGCAGACTTGGGGAGAAAGAGAAACACAAAGTATATGACAACTATACGGGTGCAATTATCATGGAAGATAGACAATGTTTGTTTTTGTACCACTATAGGACCCTATATCAATATCGTTAACATTGTACTCAGCTGTCGGTGTTCAGGAGCTTCAACATTTTGTCAAGACGATAAGGAAAATACTTTCTCTCAAAGGAGTGTGGGTCTGCGGTAGTTGTACTGAAGACCATTTTGGAAGAATGTTTTTCAATAGGGAGGTTGCTTTGTGCCAGTAATGAACGGTTTTGTTTAGTGTACGTTTTTTAAAAATGCTGTTTTTGTTTTAGAATGTTTCAAAGAAATGTGGCACATTGTTTCCCGCTCGATGTTGAAACATGTAGCGTTCAAGTATTTTTGCCCAACACAACCCTTAACCACAGTTCACGACACCTAGACACCAGAGGAGGCTGGTGGGAGGAGCTATAGGAGGACAGGGTCATTGTAATGGCTGGAATGGAATAAATGGAACCTATCAAACATATGGAAACCACATTAATGCCATTCCATCCATTAAAATGAGCCCCGTCCTCCTATAGCTCGTCCCACCAGCCTCCTATAGCTCCTCCTACTTCGGGATCGCAGTGGCATGAAAAGTGTTTCCCGTTTGACAACAGCTGAGTGGATGCCCTGTACCAAAATTAAGGAATAGTGAGAATCATTGCGCATTGATGACGCATTCTCAGTAGGATGCCTAGTATGCTGATATGTTGCTTTCTGCATTCATTTTTACTAAACCGTAGGCATACGTTCTTAATAGTATGTTGTACGATTAGTTGTTGAATAAATCCCTAATTAACGTACAAGGCTTTAAAAAAGTATTTGTGCGTAATCACGGTAGGCCTGCAGAGTATACCCAGTGTTAAATATATACAATATATTCATTAGGAAAACAATTATACGACTATCTTGTCTGTACCTGCACGGATGCTGTTGCGCTAAGCTAGTCACCTGATATTTGCTACCCAGTTTATTATTTTAGGAGAGTAGTAGCCTATCGATTGTCTCTCTAATATTTGTCATCTGGTGTATTTGCTTCAGTCTCAATTGTTTAATCGAAGTTTTCGCTGCCAGCTCCTGATATCAGTGCATAGAAACTACACTGTCCTGAATTAGCCTAGAGCCCAGCTATAACCTGTCCCGAGCTTGTTTTCCTTGGCTAAACTAGCTGGACTATGCTAGTTTTCGTCCTCATTGTCAAACTTCATAAATACTGCACCCTCAACATCAAAACTCCTTTGCTAGTTATACAATCATGTAACTAAGAAATTCGCTGGAAAGAAACTTAAATAATGTATTGTTTTGTTGAATAGTCATGACTGGTTCGCGCAATCTGTCGTAACGATGTCCTTCCCCCTCATTGCTACTTAACGCAATATAATTTCTACTTCGTTCCCATGGTGCCCTTATGGCAGCCTAGGGTGATTTGCTCTGCTGTTTTTATTGAAATGTATTGTTTTAAGTGTTATGTGCATTGTTTTTGATTAACCTTTTTGTTTTTGGGTAGCTAGCTAATTTTCCCCCAACATCGTACACCCCCTAACCTCGGACACTCTAGCGGTTGATGGACTAAATCACCTCGAGCTCAACATTTAAATGGACTGGGAAAAAACTGTACCTTTTGCGACTAACGACACCCTTCTAGCTAGCTGACCACCGATTTTCAGTGCAATTTATGTAAATTCGGTTAGGTTTTGAGTGTTTTCAAAAAAGTTATATATGTACACATTTTGTGGAACACGCTGCATATTGAAAAATTCGACTGCGCGACAGACCACACATTTAATAGCCACATTTTTACCTCTGAAATATAGCTAATGGATTTTCTAATGTTGCTAGCTTAGTTGCTAAATGTTGATAGAACTGCTAAGAAAGCAAAAAGAAAAGAAAATGTAAGCGTTAGATAATACATATCACGAAAACAGCTGAATGTTGTCAAGCTTTACCGTATCAAAATTGGAGTCCTCTGACCATTAACTTTTTGACACCTATCACTGTTGGCTAAGTTTCATCTTACAACAGCTACATAGACGCAGTATTTAGTCAAATTTTACAATGTATGCATCAATATTAAACTAATTGGGACACTCATTTTCATTACAGATAACAAACAAAATACGTGGGTACACTTTCAGTTAGTGAAAACTTTCATCACCTTTCAATGCCTTAGCTTTGAAATGTAAATGTTTATACATATTCAGATAGAGTTATCTTACTAAAATGTGTATAGTATGCCAAGTTATTTAGCTACATGTATTAACACCACAGCATGGAGAAGGTCAAGAGGAAGCAGTGGAGTGAGGTGGACATGTTCCATTCCATGGAGGACTGCGGGGCAGGGATGGCTATCCGCCAGGCTGCCAAGGTTAGGCATCTTTTGTTTTTAGGAGATTACCATGTGTATGTGAATTTTATCTGCTAGTAACAGTTTTATTTTCTTATCTACCAAGGTGCATGGTGTACCTGCCAGTGCCTCCCAGTGTGCAACACCTGTAGGAGCCGCCGGAGTCCACAGCTGCAGAAGAAGGCCACGTGCCTACTCTACCGGCCACACCATCGTCGGCCCCTCAACCCCACCATTACAAACACCAGCTCCTCCAAGCCATCGTCTGCAGTTTTGTCCACCAATCCCCCCCCTGTCTGTCACCACCAACACGACCTCCTCTGGACAAACTGCCTCCTCCGTCTCCCCTGGTCACACCACCATAGCAGCCTCATCTGATGTCCCTGCCCCCTGCAATTTGAATACCGCCAACAGCAATGTAAAAATAAAAAATCTCTCTTTACATATCTACAGTACATAGCACCAGCCCTCAAGTAATCTCCACCTCCTCCAAAACCTCTGCAGCTTCCTCCAGAGGTATTGATGTAAAAAAAAGTTGAAAAGGGTTTTCATGAAACATGCTCTGTCTAACACTACTTTTTCTCAAACTGCAGCACAGAAAAGGAAGAGAAAAGCTCCACCGGTCACATCTGTCACGCCACCACTCTCAGGTACTTCATCTGTTTTTCTCTCTCTCTCTCAGTTGTATCAATTACTATTGTTGTTGAAGAACTTCTACATTTTGCAAAACCATATTAATCCATTTTTATTATTATTTTATTTTATATAAAAGAAGACACCTGCTGTGCTCGCTACGGGGAGCATGATCCGCCTGCAAGCTCCTCTCAGGAGTGTAGATCCGAGGTGCCATGGGTGTGCTGTGACTTCTGCCAGCACTGGTTCCACTGCAGGTGTGTGCAGTGGGATCAAGAGGTAGCGGTGGAGCTGGATTTCTATTGTGATTTTTGTGACAATATAGGTCGAGATTTAATTGTTTGTTTTGTTTGTGTTCATATGAAGTTATTTATTTGTACAAAAGTCTAAAATATTATATTTATTGAACCCATCTTGTGTATTTCTTCCTTTACTTTCCAAGTGCACCTCTGCAACAAACTCCAACAGTGTTTTCATTGTTTGTCAATGCACATAACTGAAATTAAAGTTTTATTTGATGTAAATTATTAATACTCATTTTAGTATTCAACTGTTATCTATTTTTTTTTAAACATAAGATTCATCTGTAAAACAAATGAGACATTTGGTTACAACACTGAATATGTTGGTGAAGAACCATTTTTTAAGAGTCCACAGGAGGGCGCACCGGGCTACGCAATGAAAAGCGGACAGGCAAGTCATAATTTTTTACAGGAAGGCTAGCCAACTAGTCAACTATCTAGTAAACACTACGGGTACGTGGTTGGTGTCTCTTCTTTGAACAAAATAGTAAGGTGGCCAATAACAGGGGTCGTATGCCGATAATACGGGACTTGTTTTTTTGCTAAACCGCTTATCAAAAAGCTGATAATAGTAGTATTTCCACTGAAATGTCAATCTTGCTAATTGCTAACCCGTTAGCTAACATTTTTACGACACCAATAATCACATAACATTGATGGCTTGATCACAAGATAACACTGTTGAAGGTAATATTTATTAAACGCTGTTGAATATGCCGATAATACGGGGTTCCACTGTAAATAAAAGTATTGATCTAATCATTTTTAACCTCAACGTTGAAATTGGACAATTCATTTTACTTTTCTGTCATCAAGTATATATAGCCGCTTTTTCTTTTGAATACCTGAATTGAAGAGTTTCACCTATTGGTTGTGTTCGTAAATTCACTCTGGCCATCTACTCCGATTTCAGAGCACTCTCGTCTGAGTGTGCCAGAGCACCCGTTGAATGTGGCCGGTGTCAGTAAACGTAGGCAAAAAAAGCGTAGTTAAATTGTTGCCAGCAGCACAATTACAATCACCAACGCTCTTGATAACATGAAAACAGCCTAACTAGCTCTGCTAGGGCGAGTAAAACGGTCAGTGAGGTGTTCTCCCATTTGTGTCTGGAAGTAGCTAGCCAACGTTAGCTTGGGTGCTTGACTGCGGTTGTGTGGTCCGAACGCTCGGATCAACCCTACTCCTCGGCCAGCGTCCAGTGTGCGCTCTGAATTTATGAATGGACAATCTGACAACGCTCTGAATTTATGAATACCCAGAGCGCATTTACGAACACACCCATTATCTCATGGAGGACTAAAGTATCCTGAACAAAAATATAAACGCAACATGAGCTGAAATAAAAAAAATCAGAGACATTTTCCATTCGTACAAAAAGCTGTGCACAAATTTGTTTAAATCCTTGTTAGTGCGCATTTCTCCTTTGCCAAGATAATCCATCCACTTGACAGGTGTGGCATATAAAAATGCTGATTAAACAGCATGATCATTACATAGGTGTACCTTGTGCTGGGGACAAAAGGCCACTAAAATGTGCAGTTGTCACAACACAATGCCACAGATGTCTCAAGTTGAGTGTGCAATTGACATGTTGAATGCAGGAATGTCCACCAGAGATTTTGGTAGTACGTCCAACCGACCTCACAATGGCAGACCACATGTAACCACGTCAGCCCAGGACCTCCACATCCGGCTTCTTCACCTGCGGGATCGTCTGAGACCAGTCACCTGGACGATAAAACAAACCCTTAGTAAGGAGCTCAAAAAAGGTATTCAACTTGAATCCTACGGAAAAAGCTTAAACATTAAGGACGGCGGTAGGAAATCCATTCATAAGCTAAGAGAGTCCACACAGAACTGTACGTCTCCCTCTCTGCAGTGCAGATTCTGACTCTGCAGCAAGTTTTTTTTAAGTATATGGTCCGCCTCTCACTCAGGTCCATTTCAGAGTGGCACTGTTTAATGGCAGTCTGACAAACAACACTACTATTACAAGACTTAAATCAGTGACAATGGCCTGGGACTATTATGTTTGAAGGAAATAATCTAAAAAATGAAAACTAACAAATTGTAGGCAATTACTCCTCAAATGGTCAAGTTGTGAGGTTTGCTAGAAGGTAACTAATATAATACTACATTAATTTTGGCATTTATGTAGAGAAACTAATTACACACACAATTGTGACAATTTAAAATGACTTCTCAGTCTCCTGTAGTTTCTAATGGGTAGTAAATTCACACAAAAAAATTCTGAATATTGCATTTATTTAAATACATTAAATTTGCAATGTAACAAAACTATTGGCATATGAAATTCAAACACCATTTAAATGAACAAAACATGGCTCACTTCATTTTCTGTAGCTACTGCCCGTAACACTTGTTTGTATCGCACTACCAAAACCCTAGCTCTGTCTCCACTTACATTGTTCACAGACTACTATCTTGCAATAAGAGTGCTGAATAAAAATATGAGGTAAGAAAGTGGTTTGAAGATTACAGATCATGCAGAACATGCTAAACAGCAACAAAAATATTTTGTTGTGAAAGTAAGAGAAAAAAAATTACAGAAGTGTGCATTGCAAAATAATAATTGAATTACAGCTTTGCATCTTTGGTTACAAAGTAGGTATGAACGATTTCACAGCTTTTTTCCCCCCACCCCGAAAACACATGTACAAGAAGACATGAGGGTATGACAATACACTTTCCATTTTGGAGACAGAAACTAGCAATTGGATTGGAAGTTTGTCTAAATAGCCTACCGCAGATTCACGTTCAGATTTCCTGTCAGAAGACTTGGTTTTCACCTGTACAAACTTTGCTATGTTCTTAATACTTTACACTATACAAAATGTACATTCAAACTGGATCTTGACTGGTGCGGATAAACAATTCCATTGTAAAACTGCCTGTTTAGTGTTAGACGTATATGTCAGTTTCTTTATTATTGCCTACATATTCAACTGGTTAATGTAATACACAACCCATTGGGTGTACGGCCAATTATTTTAAACACTGATGACAAAAAAAAAAGAAAAAACTTTTTTTGTTTTTTGTGACGTTCCTTTCATGAAAATAGCAGCCCCGTAATAAATAAACACTAACCGTAGAACTTTAGACTGATGCATGGATTGGCGCGGCTCCGAAAATAGATCTCTCCCCCGCTTCTTACTTACAACATGAAACAGCAAGGCTAAAAATAAATCTCTTACAAAAAAAAATAATCTCTTGGACGCTCTGATTCATCCTCTCATGTGAGCTGCACCACTCCTTTGTGGGTGGGGGTCTGGTCCACAGGGTCTGACAGCACTCAACCAGTCCATGCTCCAGCATGGCACCCCATAAGAAAAGCCCCCCCCCTTGCGCGATGATTGCATTAACACTGGGAAGGCCAAACAACAGGCATACAGTACGCACACAGACACTGAAGCACTGCTCTTGGTTGTGGTGGTCAAGCTGGTGGAGAACAAGACAATATTATTAAATTTTTTGCTTCGTATGCTAATTTAGAATAATTGGAGGGTGCTTTTCTACTTTTTCCCCTCCCCCTCCTGTAGCGGAGAGAGGGGGAGGATGTACTTCAAGCGGAGTTAACGTTGGGCTGCGGTTGCGGCGAAGGCTGGCTGGCGTCGAGCTGGGGTTGCTGGGGCTGGAGTTGTTGAGGCTGAGGCTGGGGTTGGAGTTGCTGGGGCTGGAGTTGAGGCTGCTGCGTTTGAGGCTGGGCCTGGGCCTGTGGTGGAGCCTGTAGCTGTAGTTGCAGCTGGCCTTGGCCCACCCCTTGCTGGGGAGGCGTGCTGCAGGAAGAGTTTGTGGCGGCCGGCCGGACGGAGAGCTCAGACAGCTGGTCGCTGTTGGCCAGGGATTTCAGCACAGCGTTCTCCTGCTCCAGCATAGAGTTCCTCTCAAACAGCTCCTTGATCTGCTCCTTCAGCACCTCCACCTCCTCACGCACCGCATACATCAGATGGCTTTTCACCAAGTCCTGAAGAGAGAGAAAACAGGGGACATGCATTTAGCTCGCTAATATCCTCTGTGGGAAGACAGAGCAGAACATGCTATTAGCATTTAGCTCGCTAACATCCTCTGTGGGAGGACAGAGCAGAACATGCTATTAGCATTTAGCTCGCTAACATCCTCTGTGGGAGGACAGAGCAGAACATGCTATTAGCCTTTAGCTCACTACCATCCTCTGTGGGAGGAAAGAGCAGAACAAGCTATTAGTCTTTAGCGCGCTAACAGCCAATGCGAGAGGACAGAGCAGAAAACAACTAGCCTATGTACATTAGCTGAACAAAGCAAACCCTGTAGGCACATGATGATTTGGCAAACAAAAATGTCCCGGAGGGGCAATGAAGTCAGTGATAAGTCAGGCCACAATTTATGCTTGTATTCGTCCTCGTCAGCGACTGGATCAGACCAAGGAAACTAGGTAATGGAATCTCTAGACGGCAAATTATTTTAATTACTTTCGTTTTTCAGTTAAGTACCAAGGAGGGACCTAAACCAGGGACCTAAAACATGAGGACATGAGTTGAGATTTGTTCCTTGCAATACAGTAGTTCCATTTCAACAATGAGATTTCAACAATACCGTTTAAAACAAAAAATGAAGGCAAATGATACCATAAAATGAATATGGTTAAATAAAACACTTACCATAGCCTGTTCGATTTTATTGTCAATGGCAACAACACTGGCTCCAGAGGCACTGTAAAAAGGAAGAGGAGGATATTAGACCGAAGACAATCACAGGGGAATTATTGAACCAATTATTGGTTTATTTATTTATTTTTATTATTACTACTATTACTACTACTACTACTTTTCATGCACTTTAAAAAGGTTTCTTTAACTTCTTTAATTTCTGACAGTAGAAACCTGTGAGATACCATGGGCCAGTTGATCATGAAAGTAAAGTAAAAAGTAGCCCAGCCTGGTCTCATACACTAGACGTAACATAGTAAATGTAAATCCGGGACATTGAAATGATATGTTATGTTTGGTATGGTTACATTAAGACAAAATGGTTACATAAGGCAAAAACAAAAAGTAGGGGGGTTGGTTGGGGTGGATGTATAACGTGAACATCTAGCAACCCAAAGGTTGCGAGTTAGACTCATCACGGACAACTCTAGCATTTTAGCAACTTTTCAGCTACTTTGCAACTACTTCCCCTAACCTTAACCCTTTTAGCTAACCCTAACCCTTTAACCTAACTCCTAAACTTAACCCTAACCTAGCTAACATTAGCCAGCTAGCTAGAATTCGTAACATATACGTTTTGCAGATTTAACATATACTAAGTTTAGCAAATTCGTAACGTACAATATGAATTGTAATTCGTAACATATCATACGAAATGGGTGATGGACACCCACAAACTAATATATACTATACGAAATGTAACATATCATACTAAATGTGGTGTTTCGGATTTAAGTACAGAATAATACGAAATGCTCTGAGACCAAGTTGAGTAGCCATGATTTTTTTTCTATATTATTCCTCAAAAATCCTAACTATATCATAAAATCGTAAGTGCTTCAAATGCAGTAAATTGATTAAAGCATTAGTGACAATTATGATAGTAAAAGGGTAGCCTATTAAGATATGAATGTCATGCTACTAAGTACCCAGTTTAGTACTACTAGTATGCTAAGTTACTAGTAGTGACGCAGACAACAGTTCAATGTAGGTCACAGCAAAGCCTATAGGAGAAAGGCCAGTCATATGGCCGCATTAATGCTACAATATCTAACTTTTTGGGCGACACGACAAAATTCACATAGAAATGTGAGTTATATATTCTCATTGAAAGCAAGTCTTGGAAGCCGTGGATTGGAAGTGATGCAGACAATTACATTGATGGAAGTTACAATCTATCTGCAATATTAAAGCTGATCTAGCAAATAAAAAAAGAAATAATAAGTATTGGAAGAGGTAGATCTGGTCCATGTGTGCCATGTCTATGCTTCCTGTTTTGAAGTTTGGTTTTTGCATATTTTACTTTCTGTTTTGTACACCAGCTTAAAAACAACAATAATTCTCTATACTATACTTCCTTGTCTTGTCACAACCTGAAATTAGGTGAACTATTATAATTTTAGCAACCAGGAAATGGCGGAGCTATTTCTTAATAGTGCATCTTTAAACGCAGACATGACTCACATTCGTCTATACTGTGCGATCAAAATCTAGCACGAGTTGAATGTACAACATAAACTTTGACAAAACTACAGTCAGGGACGGCCTGTTCAATAGGGCGATATGGGCGACGCACTGCCAAACGGGAAAAGGAAGGGATTTTTTTTCTAATCAATTATTTCACGGCAACAGTAGTTATCAGTGTTGTAATCTATACGTCTGATCTGCCACAGTGCCACACTGCCACTAAATGTCGAATCAGGCTAAAGTCGTGCTTCAAATGGCTCCACCCCCTTTTGGGGCGATTTCAGTCAGATTGAAAATCGCCCAGAACTTCTGTCATAGACTCCCATGTAAAATCTATTTTTTTCAAATTTCAGAGCCTTCAATACAATCTCAATGGGTGTCTGTGGGCTTGCACTTACGCGCTTTCGTCATACGTTACGTAACCATGAACGTAACTGAGAAAAGAGTGGATTGTTTGAAAGAAGTTCCTTTTTGTCGGCGAACATATGAAGATAAATTGGCAACGAAACAATTAGGACCTCCCAGACCAAATTTAATAATTCAACAGGTTTCTACTAAAGGCGGAAAGTCCTACACCCGAGGATTTTCCAAAAATTGGTACGAACGAAAAAAGACATTGCCACTCACTCAACTGGATGACGAGGGATACAGGCTAGCTGTCCGCCGCCACAACGATGAGGTTAGTGTTGATAATCACAAGTTTACTGGATGTGGATATGGTGTAATAAAGGCAGTTTATTCAGAGGTAAATATATCTGGAATCGCGTTCACGGACCCGTTCGTCAAACTCTTAGGGAGCTACAAATTAAGCCCCATTACTTACCATATCAGATAAGAGAAATTGCTGCAGCTACATATATTTTACATCCTGGCCCTACATAGTTCACTATTTGCATCACTTACCAAAATATTACATGTGGTCATATATGCTTGGAAAGTGGAGATGCCATAGAACGCCAAAAAAGTAAACATTGCTGGAGACACATTGCCGTTTTGGAGAAGACATCGCGTTTGCTAGCGAAGAGATTTGTTGTGGCAAATGAACTTGGGCTGGGAATTGCCAGGAACCTCACGATAAGATATATGCATCAGCATTGCGAGTCTCATGATTCTATACGTATTGCGATTCGATACTGTGATTTTATTGCGCACCATATGTCTGTTGCAGAGGGATCAGAAAGCCATGAGAACGAGTTTTGATCAGTCATGGAAATAAAAGTGCTGAAAACAAATTGGCTCCCAATGTGAAAAGATTGAGAACAAGCTATGAAGGAACAATAATGGTGTTTTGGTGCAGGTACAGCCAACTAGCGCTAAAATATTGTGATATTGTCAATACAGTATATCGTAAAGTATCACTATGTAACTCGATTTCTTTCACCCCAATCCCTCAAATTAACGGTAAATAACTGAATTGTTTGCCCCACATTTAGCTAAGATGATTAGCTAGCCAGCTAAAATGTTTTAGTTAGTTAGCAGTCGCATCTACAATAGTTTACTGTCAATAACATGTCTCCAAAAATGACGTGGTGTCTCCAATTGTGTTGACATTTTACAATTGCAATGCGCATCCATGAGTATCCACTTTCTGTAGCTCAGCTGGTAGAGCATGGTGCTTGTAACGCCAAGGTAGTGGGTTCGATCCCCGGGACCACCCATACACAAAAATGTATGCACGCATGACTGTAAGTCGCTTTGGATAAAAGCGTCTGCTAAATGGCATATTATTATTATTATTATTATTATTATTATCTGAAGAGAGCCCCGAAACATTGTGTGCAGACATTTTATGCAATAAATGAAGTAGGTTCAATCTAGTAGTTCTGATCTTCTGATTGGTCCTGATGAGTTGGGCGAGGTCCCCTGCAGGCTACTGTCACTGTTGCATTGGCTCTGAGTCGGGTTCTCTGTCTTCAAATGTTCAGCCTAAGAGAGGGGATTTTTGTGTGTGTGTGTGTGTGTTTAACAGTGATGATGTGTGTGTGTGTGTGTGTGTGTGTTTAACAGTGATGATGTGTGTGTGTGTGTGTTTGTGTGTGTGTGTGTCCTCAGAGCAAGAACTCCTGAGTTGGAAGAACTGAGAGGCCTATGGCGTGGGTGTTGTCCTTGGCCACCTGCTGACAAGGCTGACAAGATAGGACCCTTTTGTCCATTGTTATTGGATAGGAACAGAACTTATAACCAGCTCCTGACCTAAATAGATCTTAGCACAACATTTTACTCAACATATCATATTCCATATTCACTATAACAAATATATTTACTACGACATTAGCAAGAACCGCCACATCCTCAGCCGGCTAATCCAGTGTGTGAAGTTTTGCGGAGTGTTTGAGTTAGCTTTGCGAGGCAAAGATGAAACTGAGGGCTCCACCAACCCTGGTAAGCCAACACTTTTGAGATCAGTCAATAAATGCTTCTGGTATTGACTTATATGCTGCCCCTGTCTTCATGTTGTTGCTGGACATATCTTTTTTTAAATGTGTGTAGGTCACCTAAATCATCAGAAAAATTGCCCCTCCTGAGAATTTTTTCAGGAGCCGCCACTGACTACAGTTAACACATCTTGTTATGAGGACCAGAATGAAAATAAATCGTGACTTTTATTTTGACTCGATAATTTTTTGTGTGCATTGTTGTACTCATGGCTGAGGCAAATCTATATGCATCCCCAAAAAAATTTTTTTACGGAAAAATAACATGCATTCATTCAACGATAGGTGTGATAATTCTGCAACGTTACCTTTTTGGAAATGTAGTCTACATTTATCGAACGTGTGCACAAAACGTATTCCAAACATCTGACTGAAACCACATTTCAAACCAAATTTTGCAATTTCTGAGATACTGGAACCGGCCCGCCTGGCACCGACGATCATCCCACGCTCAAAGTTGTTAAGGTCACTCATTTTGCCCATTCTAACGTTCAATCAAACAGTAACTGAATACATCAATGCCTGTGTGCCTGCCTGCTTTATATAGCACGCCACGGCTACGCGACTGTCTGTAGGAGCGAACCATTTTCGTAAACCGGGTGGTGTACCTAAAACTGTCCATAGTGTGTGTATATATGCAGTATTCACCACCAGATATGATGTGGTAGCCTTTATCAGCAAGGACTGATTGCATGGGTTGACATTCGGTGCCATTCTACAATGGTCATCATACATCGGGGTGTTAACATATTGCACTGTAGTGACTAACACTTTAGAAGGCTAGGAATACATTGAGACAGCTCCTGCTTTTTGACGTCTAACGAGTGCCTGCACACACACACACGCTTAGAGCTTCTGTCAAAGTGAGCATTGGATGGCGATGGAGCACGACACAAGACATTCTGTTCGTTCACCATCCAATTGAACTGTCTAGGAGGGGCGGAAGCACAAGCAGATTAACATCAGCAGGCTTCTCCAGGGAGGAATGGCCTCCTAGCTCTGCAGCCAGTCCAGTGACATCATTTGTACCACAAATCTCCTCTCTGAGCTCGCTGACAAGAGGATGATGGATAATGAAGGCAGAGTAAGACACAAACACGTCACATGCAAGGAGGCAGTGGGCACACTCCCCCAAAACCTCAAACACAATGCAAGCTCAGCTCACACATGCGCACAGCACCAGACCTGGGTTCAAATACTATTAGAAATAATTTCAAAAACTATCTGTGCTTGCCTGTTGCAATGGAACTAATAGAAAAGTATTGAAAGTATTTCTCCCTGCCCACCTGGGTCACCAGGCAGCCTAAAGCAACCATATGCGAAGCCAGGCAGGTCCCCACTGCCAAGGAGTCGTTACGTAAGCCACAAAAACCTTGGAGAAAGCAGGCAAAACACAAACTTCACGCAACACGGCCCAAATGTGTGTTTAATTGGGTCCGTTCCAGGCATGCACACAGGCCCTCCTATAGGTTTCCTGCCTGCTGTGAGTTTTCAAAAAGGTCTGACCCGATGGATCCCTCGCTCTGTAAAAAGCACAGACGTCGCCGTGGGCCCCAAGTCCAAATACCTCCAGACTGCTCCCACGCCAGTGAGAGAACAAAAACTATAATCTGTTCAAATTCTTAAAATCAAATGCATGAATGCAATCATGGACTTGCCTAATCATTTGACGTAGGCCTAAACCAAACACTGTTGTCGCCATGGTGTCACTGGTCCTTTGGCACTTTCATTAAAAAATAAATCTTACACAACACTGGGCTAGTAGTGCATGAACAACAAAACAACCAGAATTAAACATGTAAGCTTAGCGGTTAAGAGCGTTGGGGCAGTAACCAAAAGGTAGCTGGTTCAAATCCCCGAGCCGACTAGGTGAAAAATCTGTCGATGTGGCCTTGAGCAAGGCACTTAACCCTAATTGCTCCTGTACGTCGCTCTGGATAAGAGAGTCTGCTAAATGACTAATGTAAACATTGGGCTCTCGCGTGTACAGTATGTAAAGGGTTAATATCAGCATGATGTAGTTAGACGCTGGGACAGACTGAAGGGGAGTTTGTTTATTCATTTGCTCAGAAACGACAAACATGACAGCACACAGGCCCGGTTTACAGGATAAAATACCATGGAGTACAGTAGTGTGGTTCTTCCATGTTTGCTCAAGATGAGCCTGGATAAAACCAGCCACTGGTGGACACTGGCAGGGGTGTAGTGGACGCTGGCAGGGGTGTGGTGGACGCTGGCAGGGGTGTGGTGGACGCTGGCAGGGGTGTGGTGGACGCTGGCAGGGGTGTGGTGGACCACCCCCCCCCCCCCCCACCATATTTAGGGAGGATGGTAGAGTCCAACTATGCGACTGTGGCAGAGGTCAATGTGACCACGACGAGGACAGTCTGACACCTCAGTCTGTTCTGGCCATTAAGCACAGTGAATAGAAGAGACTGCTATTCAGTGTAAAGGACCGGGGGATTGCCAAATATAGCTGGTGCTAGATCAGCGCACATGGTGGTATTCAGCACCGGTCAGAGCTGCCACAAACCAGCGGATCATTGATCAGTCTGGGCAGTGTCCACTCAAATTAAGCTACTTTAATACGGTACCTACCGTGTACCGTTTTTCACACCATTCTGGTGGGCCTATGCATCTACATAGGAAAAAACTAACTGTAAAATCCTTCCATTGGCATAATTCTTGCAGTGCGTCCAAGAAGCAAAATGATGCTTGAAAGTTGTGAATTTTGTTGTTGTAAGGCGAAACAAAATGTGGCCAGGTGATGTTACAAGTTTTCCCAAGCCTGTTCTGACACATGATCTTGTTAGGCCAATAGCTTCTAGGTAAAGCCACGTAGGCCTCCCTCTTTGTTCGAGACACTGACTTCGAACATGTACCATCGGTGGTATAAAGCTACTTCTCCGGCTCTACGTGGGTAAAGGTGTCAAACTTCCTCTCTTCGTCAGAGCCCACGGGGGCAGGGCTTAGGGTTGGGTTGAGATCAAACGAAAAGCCGCTGGGGAAAAAAGGGTTCTTATCACCCATCTTACGCAACTCTGTAAAGTTTACCTTGTGCAAGCACCAGACGGAGCTTAATGGAGCTCAAAATGGGGTTTGGTGTTCCAAGCAGCACGACTGAGACGGTTAAAACCTCAAGGGTTCAAGAGAAGAATGTGAATCAAAGATGTATTAGTCGCCGAAGAGTGGACAGTCATGAAGAGCTCCGACGTTGACGAGGACTGAGGGGGGGGGGGGGGGGGGGGGGAACTCAGTTGGAACCTGGAATTGTTGTCATACCTTGACACTGTTGCCTCAGTGTCACTGGGATCACTACCGTCGGTGCTTCAGTGCCGAGAGAAGCCCAGTTAGGGCTTTTGGCTCAGCTTGGCTTTCGATAAAACTAGCGCAAAGCTCAAAAGGCGAGGCCAGTCCACATGTTCAGTACCTGCAGGTGGGCTTGACTACCTTGACACCTTTGAGAGTAAATACCTGCTGCTAGCATGAAAGGTTTTTCAAAACAATGTGTGACTATAAGCAGATTCCTTTCGTAACTAGAAGGAAATTAACAGATAAACATTTTCTTCTTGCAAGAGAATTGGCAATGGGGCATCCATCCATCGTAAACTCTTTACAGTAAACATTAGGAGGGAACGGTGAAGCATGATGTTGAGAGACATCGGAACAATCTCTATGGAATCATGTTGAGAGAGCACAATCGGTTTCAAAATGAGGTTGAATAACTTTTTTTTTAAATGTTGTATAATAATTGTCACATGCTTCGTAAACAGGTGTGGAGTAACAGTGAAATGCTTACTTACGGGCCCTTCCTAACAATGCAGAGAAAGAAAAGAGAAATATTAGAAAAGTAAAACGTAGTAATAATAGATACACAATGAGTAACGATAACTTGGCTATATACAAGGAGTACTAGTACCGAGTTGATGTGCAGGGGTACGAGGTAACTGAGGTAGATATGTTCATATAACTAGGAATAAAGTGACAGACAGTAAACCGTAGCAGCAGCGTATGTGATGAGTCAAAAACGTTAGTGCAGAAAGGGTCAATGTAGATAGTTAAATAGTTAACTAAATAGCTACCCGGACTAACTATTTAGCAGTCTTATGGCTTAGTCATAGAAGCTGACTATAGGCCATGGTCAACAGTAGTGCATTATACAGGGAATAGGATGCCATACAGCATATAGGAATAAAGTGACCAGGCAACAGGATAGGAAAAAAAAGTGACAGATAGTAAAACAGTAGCAGCAGCGTATGCGAGGAGTCAAAAAAGTTAGTGCAAAAAGGGTCAATGCAGATATTTGGTTAACTATTTAACTATTACCCAGACTAACTATTTAGCAGTCTTGACTTGGGGGTAGAAGCTGTTCAGGGTCTGGTTGGTTCCAGACTTGGTGCATCGTACCGCTTGCCGTGCCGTAGCAGAGAGAACAGTCTATGACGGGTGACAATTTTTAGGGTCTTCCTCAGACACTGCCTGGTATAGAGGTCCTGGATGGCAGGGAGCTCGGCCCCATTGATGTAATGGGTCGTACGCACTACCCTCTGTAGCGCCTTGCAGTCGGATGCCAAGCAATTGCCATACCAAGCAGTGATGCAGCCAGTCAAGATGTTCTGCAGCTGTAGAACTTTGAGGATCTGATGGCGCATGAAATCTTTTCAGCCTCCTGAGGGGGAACTTTGACATGAAATACAGCCTCAGAGCGCCAGGGGCACCATTGAGATCTACAGATGACTTGAGCCTGGCCCGTTTGCGCTTCTGCCATGGAAACGGACACTCATGGAAGTGTGTGCCTACGGAGCACCCTAAATACAGCACCTCTAAACACAGGAAGTGAAGCAGAAAGTGAGGCCGAGGGCACCGATGCTATCCCTCCACCTCGCCATCCTGTGGTGCTGGTGATGTAAACCAACGAGACATTCCAGGTGCATGCAGTAACAGTAAAGTCTCAAAACACAGCACAACTGAAATCCACATGTACTCTTCCAGGCGGAAGAAGTACATGATATTACTGCAGCGTCCCGGTTTAAAAGCACTAAGTCAGTCAGTCAGCCAGCCAATCGATGCTTTAGTGCGAGTGGGGCTCAGGCACACAGCGTTATGGCTGGAGGAGGTCCGGTGTATGAAATGACTGACTATATGAGGTCCGGTGTATGAAATGACTGACTATATGAGGTCCGGTGTATGAAATGACTGACTATATGAGGTCCGGTGTATGAAATGACTGACTATATGAGGTCCGGTGTATGAAATGACTGACTATATGAGGTCCGGTGTATGAAATGACTGACTATATGAGGTCCGGTGTATGAAATGACTGACTATATGAGGTCCGGTGTATGAAATGACTGACTATATGAGGTCCAGTGTATGAAATGACTGACTATATGAGGTCCGGTGTATGAAATGACTGACTATATGAGGTCCGGTGTATGAAATGACTGACTATGTATGTGTGCAGTTCTCCTCCACGGCGTCTGTCAGCCGAGTGCTGCTTTAACGACGCACATTCATTTCCAGTCTGGTGCTGCGCTCTCCTCAGATATGGTTTCATGTACAGTGCCTTCAGAAACTATTCACACCCCTTGACCTTTTCCACATTTTGTTGTGTTACAGCCTGAATTTAAAAATGGATTCAATTGAGATTTTTTCGTCACTGATCTACACACAATACCCCATAATGTCAAAGTAGAATTATGTTTTTCAAATATTTTACAAATTAATTAAATATGAAAAGCTGAAATGTCTTGAGTCAATAAGTACTCAACCTCTTATGGCAAGCCTAAATAAGTTCAGGAGTAAACATTTGCTGAACAAGTCACATAATAAGTTGTATGGACTCACTGTGTGCAATAATAGTGTTTAACATGATTTTGAATGACTACCTTATCTCTGTACCCCACACATACAATTATCTAGAAGTTCCTTCAAATCAAGCAGTGAATTTCAAACACAGATTCAACCACAAAGACCAGGGAGGTTTTCCACTGCCTCGCAAAGAAGGGCACCGATTGGTAGAAATAAAATAAAAAGCAGATCATTAATATCCCTTTGTGCATGGTGAAGTTATTAATTACACTTTGGATGGTGTATCAATACACCCAGTCACTACAAAGATACAGGCGTCCTTCCTAACTCAGTTGCCGGAGAGGAAGGAAACTGCTCAGAGGTTTCACCATGATGCCAATGGTGACTTTAAAACAGTTACAGAGTTTAATGGCTGTGATAGGAGAAAACTGAGGATGGATCAACAACATTGGAGTTACTCCACAATACTAACCTAATTGACAGCATGAAAAGAAGGACGCCTGTACAGAATTACAAATATTCCAAAACATGCATCCTGTTTTCAACAAGGTACTAAAGTAATACTGCAAAGTTTGGCAAAGCAATTAACTTTTTTTCCTGAATACAAAGTGTTATATTTGGGGCAAATCCTATACATTACTGAGTACCACTCGCCATACTTTCAAGCATAGTGGTGGCTGCATCATGTTATGGGTATGTAATCGTTAAGGACTGGGCAGTTTTTCAGGATAAAAAAAGAAATGGAGCTAATCACATGCAAAATCCTAGAGGAAAACCTGGTTCAGTCTGCTTTCCACCAGACAGTGGGAGATGAATTCACCTTACAGCAGGACAATAACCTAAAACACAAGGCCAAATCTACACAGTTGCTTACCAAGAGGCCAGTGGATGTTCCTGGGTGGCCAAGTTACAGTTTTGACTTAAATCTGCTTGAAAATCTATGGCAAGACCTGAAAATGGTTGTTTAGCAATGATTTGGACAGAGCTTGAAGAATCTTCAAAAGAATGGGCAAATGTTGCACAATCCAGGTGTGGAAAGCTCTTAGAGACTTACCCAGAAAGACTCACAGCTGTAATCGCTGCCAAAGGTGATTCTAACATGTATTAACTCAGGGGGTTGAAAACGTATCTAATCAAGATAGTGTTACATTTTTCATAATTGTTTTACAAATGTTAGTATTTTGTGTAGATCGTTGACAAAAAAAGGACAAATCCATTTTAATCACACTTTGTAAAACAACAAAATGTGGAAAAAGTCAAGGGGTGTGAATACTTTCTGAAGGCACTGTGTGGTTGCCTTTTCATTTTTATAGAGTCATCTCAAGAATGTCCTGCCTCCTGAATGCACCCTCCGTCTAGCTGTCCGAAAGGTGAGAAGTCATAATATATTGGCAAATCTGCTCTGTACGTAGGAGCGTTAGGGAAAGGTATCGGATGTGTCATGTTCTATTTCATCACTGATTATTCCTATTGATGACTTCATATTATGACAAGAAAAAGTAGTTGGCCCTTTCTAGCACCACTCGGTTCAGTGACATACTGACTAGCGTGAGTCAGTTGAGGGGAGGTTCAGGGAACAACTGTTTATGGGCTTTAGTAGGCCTTAGTGTTACTGAGGAGGCAGGTAGCCTAGCGCTTAAGAGTGTTGGGCCAGTAACTGAAAGGTCACTGGTTCAAATCCCCGAGCTGACTAGGTGAAACATCTGTCGATGTGCCCTTGAGCAAGGCACTTAACCCTAATTGCTCCTGTAAGTCGCTCTGGGTAAGAGCGTCTGCTAAATGACTCAAATGTAAATGTACTGATGTAGGCCTATTGGCTGAGTGTGAGGTTTGGCTGGCCAACATCCCAGCTGCCATGCGGTTTCCATCCATGCACATCCACAAAGGAAAGCTCACTGTTGCCGAGCTGCTATGCACCCATAAACACACACAGGCAGGCCTGTCCCATCCAGTCCAGTCCGGTACGGTACCTATCACTGTGGGCCTTAGAGTCCCGCAGCCTGCTGCCAGACTGGAAGGCCTGGTAGAACGCCATGGAGGGGTTCCTGTGCCAACCAAAGTCAGAGAAAACAGGGGAGAAAGAAGAGAGAGAGGGGATGAATCAGAGAAGAAAGAGTGACAGGAGAAAGCGAGAGACCTGTCTCGTATTGTTAAACGTCTTAAAATCAGAAGAAAGAATACTGTGTGCATAGTTAACTAGCTAGGAGGATAGAGGCTGTGCCTGAAGGCGTTTCACTAAATCGTCTGTCACAAGTTCAAGATGAGCAAACAGTACATAATTCACAAATATTCAAATAAAACTTGCTTAGCTGTAGGTAAAAATCAACATTATACCTACATCTAACCCCACACTCTTAAAAATATTTTGAATGCAGCACAGGCAACTGAGGCTAAAACTGGAAAATCGCCTAAGTGTTGAGTTCTGCAGAGTAGGAAAGGAGTTATTTTGCCAACCGCTGTGTTGATAGGAGGCGAGTTCATATGGTTACCATTCCCTCCCATGTCCCGACTATGGGGCCTTGGAGGCCACAAGCACACCATGTTCTATGAGGACGGAGAAATGCCCTCCCCCCCCAAAGCCCCATGTCCATAAACCAAACTACACGTGTGCACCCCCCCCCCCACCCCGTACAGCATGTGTGAATATCTGAACATTGAGCCAAGGCTCTTTTCCTAGAAATCTCTGGCACAAACTCCCTTTGTCACATTAGCTCATGACCAAACACTTTTATGGAGCTCCTCCTTCACTCTCTGACTCGCTTCATACAAAACCCAACATCAATACAAACTCATGCAGTACTAACAGTGTTGAGCAAATAGCGCTTTTTGAGGTCCGTTCCGTTCTATTATAAAAAAAATTGAATCACTGTTTTTGATTTTTATATAGTGTTGTACATTAAATGCACTATGCGGGTTCAACGGTGTAACACAGAATAAAACAATGAATAAAAATCCCATGATGGTAGTGTCTGTCCATTACTGCTCATCACTTATTAACATGACTTTACTTCAATCAAATAGTTCAGTTGTGTTGTATATTACATTTGATAACTATTATTTCATTCCAAGTCATCATCTCTATAGAGCTGCTGCCTATGCTGTCTGACAAATCACTATTTTAGTAGTTCTTCAAAGTAAATAAGTCGTCCTTTTATAACAGCTGAATAGCAACTATCAATAACTTAGAGCATGTATTTTCAGGTAGAGATCCGCGAAGCAACCGCTCTCTATCCCTTTCCATCAAGCATTCTTCCTCTCTTTACCCCCTCTGTGTCTGCCCCACACTAACCTCTGTGTCTGCCCCACACTAACCTCTGTGTCTGCCCCACACTAACCTCTGTGTCTGCCCCACACTAACCTCTGTGTCTGCCCCACACTAACCTCTGTGTCTGCCCCACACTAACCTCTGTGTCTGCCCCACACTAACCTCTGTGTCTGCCCCACACTAACCTCTGTGTCTGCCCCACACTAACCTCTGTGTCTGCCCCACACTAACCTCTGTGTCTGCCCCACACTAACCTCTGTGTCTGCCCCACACTAACCTCTGTGTCTGCCCCACACTAACCTCTGTGTCTGCCCCACACTAACCTCTGTGTCTGCCCCACACTAACCTCTGTGTCTGCCCCACACTAACCTCTGTGTCTGCCCCACACTAACCTCTGTGTCTGCCCCACACTAACCTCTGTGTCTGCCCCACACTAACCTCTGTGTCTGCCCCACACTAACCTCTGTGTCTGCCCCACACTAACCTCTGTGTCTGCCCCACACTAACCTCTGTGTCTGCCCCACACTAACCTAAAGCATCAGGCGTAAAAGAAACACACAGACCGGACAAGTAGGCGGGCAATGGATTATGATCGTTGTAGTTTATTCCTACGTTTTCTACACTAAACTATGTACAATATTGGCCTGTTGGAAACTACAACTGCATCCTATATCGCACAGTTCGGCCTTGATCTGAAGAAAAAAAAATGAAATGGAATTCAAATAATGAACCGATGCCGGTCAATTAGTTGTTCACACACACTCAGGTAAAAGAGGACATAACATCACCGGTCAAGCTGGCCCTCCTGTAGCTCAGTTGGTAGAGCATGGCGCTTGCAACGCCAGGGTTGTGGGTTCGTTTCCCACGGGGGACCAGTGTGAAAAATGTATGCACTCACTAACTGTAAGTCGCTCTGGATAAGAGCGTCTGCTAAATGACTAAAATGTAAATGTAAGCTTAGGAGAGGGTTGCTGCAGGTCGTCGGTGGGCTCGGCTGGGCTTACATTAGGGTGGGGCGATATCCAGATTGGCATACCTTCATACTGTTCCTGAACGCACAAAACAAATTTAGGCAGCAGGGAGGGGACTGATCCAGGAGGGGATTGATTGTCTCTGCTGTAAGCAAGAAGATTGCTCTTGCAAGCTAGCCACATAGCTAGCAAGTTAGCAAACCAAATGCATAGTTGGAGCCCCGAGCTGGAGATAATTTATTTGGCACATCTTAAGATAGTTAACATTTAGTTAACTTAAGTTGTGGCGTAGCATGCAACCCCGCAAAGCTTTTATTTTGTTGACGATATTGAAAATCATACCGTCGGTATTTCAAAATACCCCAGTATACCGCCCAAGCCTAGCTCACATGATTCTAGGCCACCTTCATCGTCAATGTAACAGATGAACTGGAGCGGTTATCCTATCCTATTTTCAAGTTGGAAATCTCGACTCTGAAAGGACACCTTTGTAACGTTCGCCTAATTATGACTGGTTGTAACGTTCGCCTAATTATGACTGGTTGTAACGTTCGCCTAATTATGACTGGTTGTAACGTTCGCCTAATTATGACTGGTTGTAACGTTCGCCTAAACATGACTGGTTGTAACGTTCGCCTAAACATGACTGGTTGTAACGTTCGCCTAAACATGACTGGTTGTAACGTTCGCCTAAACATGACTGGTTGTAACGTTCGCCTAAACATGACTGGTTGTAACGTTCGCCTAAACATGACTGGTTGTAACGTTCGCCTAAACATGACTGGTTGTAACGTTCGCCTAAACATGACTGGTTATAACGTTCGCCTAAACATGACTGGTTGTAACGTTCGCCTAAACATGACTGGTTGTAACGTTCGCCTAAACATGACTGGTTGTAACGTTCGCCTAAACATGACTGGTTGTAACGTTCGCCTAAACATGACTGGTTATAACGTTCGCCTAAACATGACTGGTTGTAACGTTCGCCTAAACATGACTGGTTGTAACGTTCGCCTAAACATGACTGGTTGTAACGTTCGCCTAAACATGACTGGTTGTAACGTTCGCCTAAACATGACTGGTTGTAACGTTCGCCTAATTATGACTAGTTGTAACGTTCGCCTAATTATGACTGGTTGTAACGTTCGCCTAAACTAACAGACCTCAACCCGTGAAGCAACACGCCCATCAGCCCATGACTGAGATAGCCTAGATGACAGCCATATCCATAGGTATGCTGTTCATTCCTAGGCCTTATTTGGTCGAAAATCTACTAGAAAACTTTGCTCCAACATGACTGATAGTTGCATGTTGCCTAACCTAACTCAATGCTGCCCTCAAGCAAAACTAATGACCCCAACAACCGGTTCAACAAAAATAACCTTTCAGGCATTCTTTTTCGTTGATGTCAACCATTTCTATCTGGGTCAAACGTTGGCTGCGTTCACCCCTGCACACACAGAACAGCCGTGAGTGAGCCTGGCGGCTGGTTGGTTTGCTTGCAGGGTGTTGGACCTCAGAGCAACCTCACTAACTCACTGAGCATGTGAAAAGCCATAGGGGCTTTGTGAATCAATTCAGTTACATAGTGATATTATTTTTGACAATATCGCAATATTTTTGCGCTAGTCAGCTGTACCGCCACCAAAACTACAGTATTTTTCCTTCTATAGCTTGTTCTCCATCTTCTTTTGAAAATGGTGAGCCAAGACTGATTATTTCCACGACTGATCAAAACGTAGTCAGATTGCTCTTGTCCCTCTGCAGCAGACATGGTGAGCAATATGTTAGGAAAAATAGAAATCACAGTATCAAATCGCAATACATACAGAATCGTGACAATCGCCGTTCATGTCATATCAGCTCCAAATTATGGTGATATCATCGTATCACGAGGTCCCTGGCAATTACCAGCCCTAGAAAGAAGATGAGGCCTTCTGTCATCTGCCCAATCCATCAGAGCCTGGGCAGAACTAGGTCAGGACTACTTAGATTCCAGCGCCATGTTGGAGTCCCCCTGCAGCACAGGTTTAGTTCAGTGGGGTGGTGGGGAGTAAGAGAAGGGGGCTCAATGCCCACTCTGTAAATTCATAAATATGGCCACACTTTTATGAATGTTCCCCTGTACTGTAGGCCCCTAATCAGGAAGCAGGGGTGATGGAAAACAAAACTATGGAGAGAGAGTCAGGGAACTGTGGTTTCTTGGACTCACTGTATTTCCTATAGGCCATGTCCTGTTTTCCCATACTCTTGTGAGGATGTGGATAGGACAGGTAGAAAAGTGACGTATATGAAGTTTGTGACATTGCTTTAACCTACCTGGCCAACCAATCAGTCCTTTCAGATTTACGCTGATAAGAAAGTAGATCAAGGGAAAGGTCTAAACACCGCCCACCTAAATACTGTGCATTAATAACATCTCCGCTTGAGCCCTCTGTGACGTACAGTAACAGTACATCCCCATGAAGGAACTGTTAAACTAGTCTATTATCGGCAGTGGCCTGAAGCCGGTGCTGAGGAGCCTTTCTTTCTGAGGCCGGGGCTGAGGAGCCTTTCTTTCTGAGGCCGGGGCTGAGGAGCCTTTCTTTCTGAAGCCGGTGCTGAGGAGCCTTTCTTTCTGAAGCCGGGCTGAGGAGCCTTTCTTTCTGAAGCCGGAGATGAGGAGCCTTTCTTTCTGAAGCCGGGCTGAGGAGCCTTTCTTTCTGAGGCCGGGGCTGAGGAGCCTTTCTTTCTGAGGCCGGGGCTGAGGAGCCTTTCTTTCTGAAGCCGGAGATGAGGAGCCTTTCTTTCTGAAGCCGGGCTGAGGAGCCTTTCTTTCTGAAGCCGGAGATGAGGAGCCTTTCTTTCTGAGGCCGGGGCTGAGGAGCCTTTCTTTCTGAGGCCGGGGCTGACTGAGCATTTCTTTCTGAAGACAGGGCTGACGTGCCTTTCTTTCTGAAGACAGGGCTGACGTGGCTTTCTTTCTGAAGACAGGGCTGACGTGCCTTTCTCTGTACCTTGGGCAGAGGTGATGACTGAGAAAGAACCTAAAGACAGAGACCTGCAGAGTGGGTCCGCAGAGAACAATGCACCTTTCTTTAGAATAGCATTAAAAAAGGCAGACAGGACTCGAGAGGCTGATGAGTTCAAAGCAGTGCAAAGATTACTGGTGGTAGGCTAATTCTGTTCACCCGTTTTAGCCAAAAGGGCCCCCTGCCTGCTGAATGGTATGAAAGTGAAGAGCATGGGGCTGGATGCAGATCTTCAGGTACATTATAAATGAGTAGCAGAGGTTGCAGGCGAGTCAGGACACACAGTGATCAGTGATGGTCCAGGCCTGCCCCCTCTTCTCTCTCTCTAGCCAGCAAAACAGGATACAGCAGAACACCCTGGGGTTAAAGGCCAAGTGCCACTCGTTGTCACACATGTCCATCCTGACATTAAATACATATACTTCCCCTAACAGACTATTGTACTCAAAACTTTCAAAGTTCATCCCAACCCCCCCCCATCCTCTACCCATATTCCACACACATACACACTACTCAAACCAAACACACCACACCCCTCCTCCAGATACACCTCCTTGTCCACCCACAAACCCCTTCCCCAGACACATCTTGTCCACACACTGGCTCATTTCAGTGTCAATCACTCCTTGCCACCTTCTACTGGGCTGCTGTGGAGGAGTCAGGTTGCACAGATCAGCCAACTTGGATCTAGAACACATTCCATCCACCAGGTGATTTACTTTGACTGACACCATAAAGGTCAATTAGGCTACCATTATTCAACATTATTTATTTTTGTATGCAAATAGCGTATTCAGTTCATTATACAAGTCTAACTAGATTAACATCTTCCCCTAAAATGTATTTTACTCTGACAACACCACATAAAGCTGCAAAATGTTCTGCAACAAGTTTTTCGACCATCAGGCAAACATTAAACGTCTCCAAATCTGAAGTAAAAAGCAGATAGATGGCGGGAGAGCAGCTTAATCGTCCATCTTTAGTCTAGCTATGGCTGAGGGGGGAAGCGAGTCAACAGACAGCTAAGCTCTACAGTAATCACTTTCAGGAAGAACTGGCAGGGGGGGACACTGACTTACAGATGAAGCAACAGTTGACTCGAAAAAAACGTTCCCGAACTTGCCATTAGAATAACAGTTTAATGCTTGAGGGGAGGGGACCCGTGTCCCATTACAAATTCTAAAACATATGGGCAGAATGTGCAACACAGATCAAATCAGATCATGACTTAGTCGTCTCATTACAGTAACAGTTGCAGTCACTGCGACAGCAACAAATTAGAAACCCAATATTAGCAACATCTTTGATGACATTTGATTTCTATTGTGAAACAAACCTAAAACTGGTTAGTTGGACGTAGATGTTATAGCCCTGATGTAACCAAGGGAGACAGGCCTACTACATAACTCACATACCTACCTTACACACCAATCTGGAAACATTGTAATAGAATAGGACTCCATGGAACTCTACTCACTCTGCGCCGGCTTCCTAGAGTTCTGGGAATCCCTCAGTCATTGCAATGTCATTCAACACTTATCTGACGAGCAACAACTGCCAGTTTGCCTCTCTATGCCTGTCAGTCAGTCAGTCAAGGGGCCTGGCTCTAGACACTGCAACAGAGGATGTTCCCCGCTGGCACAAAAGACACTGGGGTGGTACAGAATGCACAAAACAGATGAGCGTTTCCTCTGGAAAGATTTGTAGCAGAGGAAAAAGGTCACAGGGCCTATTTTTGCAGCCTATATTCGAGTTGGGTAATTGTTTCCCTAAGGCACTCGTAACTTGAATGAGCCTCGAGGGGAATATTTATCTGGCATAGAACACACAACAAGCCGACTAGGTAAATAGATCAACTATTCTACTATGGGGTTGTCAGATTCTTCTATTCATTACTCGTTTTGTTTGCAGAGGAAAAGTAAATGTGGACTGTTACAGCATCTTCAACGTGTGCCCCAGCAGAAATATTTTTTCCATGTTCCATATTTTTTGGCCGTGGAGGAAATGATTTTGCCACAGCTGAAAGACTGCAGTGGAAACGGTCTCGCCAGCCAGGGCCCCAGTGTGGTTTTGGTTGAGGCATTGCACAGTTTCACACGCCACTCAGTTCCTGACAAGTGACGATGGGTGACACCGACGAGTTTCGATTAAGTTTCCGACAGAGAAAAATAAGTATGTATGACAGAAGAACAACATGACAACAACTAGTAGTGACTGACGGCCGACACGCCCCTCTGTAGTACGGGGGCACAGTGGAAAGACCACTGTTCGCCTCCCGATAGGGCTGATGCTATCGTGAGAGACCCCCGCTCTAATCAGTTTGAGAGAGTCTTCGTTCTCACGAGCCTGGGACAAGTGGCTGCTTGCTTCACTCACAACAGCTAAAAGAAGAGAGCCAGTCACTTAGTTGCAAGGAGTGAATCTGATTCTGCATTGCAGTTTTAAACACAGCAACTTGTGAATGGCAAAACTGGGTAACTTACATGTTCAAACACACAACTAAATCCCTTTTTCAAAGGCTAAAATGCAAGTTAAGCTCAGGAATCAACAAAGAGCAGAACCAGTGCCGTCAAAATACAAAACCCCTGTGCTGCAAAAACACACTAAACTATTTTTTTTTAAAGCCTGTAAGGCAAGTTAGGCTCGTAAATCAACAGAAATGGTAAAACTATTGTAGGTATCTAGGACATGTGACCGAATGCAAAATGCCTGCGCTGCTGCATACGTTGCCTGGTCTAGGCTATATTTCAGTCTATAAAACCTGTATAAGGAAACCACCAAGAGATTTGAGGCACTTTACCGTTTCCTCTAATGCTTGCCGACCCTGACGAGCGCTCAACTCAGGAACTGAAACTTGTAGCATATGAACAGGAAGTGTGAGTGACACCTCACAACCCTAACCCCTAACCCTCTCAACCCTAACCCTCTCAACCCTAACCCCTAACCCTCTCAACCCCTACCCTCTCAACCCCTACCCTCTCAACCCCTACCCTCTCAACCCCTACCCTCTCAACCCAATCTGTATGATAATTTAGGACGTGATCATCTACTTTGTAGTCTAGTTCCTAAACTGTATACACTAAAATGACTATTTTCAGTCTAAGGTTACCATCTGTAAGGCTCCTACGTCAGACTGTAGTATATCCTTCAATATATCATCCTTATCTGTTTGTAGGCC